TGGAAAGTATGTCAGTACTTCCGCAAAGTACAAAACGAAAAAATCTTGTTTTACGATATTTGCCATGATTTTACACTGAAAACATGTTTTCCAAAGAAAGTTTTAGAAGTTTATACTCTTATGTTTCCTTCGATATTTATGGTTATGGGAAATTAAAAATATACATAAAATATGAAGGAATACATCATATATTTATGTAGTAGTTCTGTGATTTTACTAAAGTCACAACTTCACTTTAACCTTTATAGACAGAATACAAGATGGCAAAGTTTGACTTCCTTTCATTTGTTTTGTTCTGTTGGATTTCATCTTGTCGAGGTAGTTATTATTTTTATTAGACCATTGAGGAAGTAAATGTGTATTTTTGTCAAATAAAACTGTGGAATTTGCTTAGAAATTTAAGCTAAATTGACTAAAATATTGGCTGGTTTTAAGTCCTCGTGTTTACACAATAACACACATTGTAGCCAGTTCTGCATTTAAAAATAATCCAAAAGCAATACCTTGCAGTATTTTCATCTTTTAAATACATGTACATAATGGCTATTTAGCAAAGAAGTATAAATATCTCATTTACAATAGGGTAATTGACATTTTTGCGGTAAATAGAGATAGCACTTATGCTTGCACAATAATACTAAATGTGTTTCACCATTATAAACTATGCTGCTCTATGTGGCTGTAGTGCAATTATGAATCTAAATTATAAATTATTAAATATTTATATGCCAGCTATTATTATTTATCAATTGATGCTCATACCAATGTGTGAACAATGTTTAAATGCCCATGTCTTTATTCATACATCAATGCACTAAATCTTCTGTTAATTACAAATTGACCTCAATCATTTAGTTTGATATCATTTTTCCATTAAGTTTTCAAAGTCCATCACTTCTAGCAATTTTAGCTTCTTCTGTAGTATTGCTTTTTTTGCTTAGAAAGATCACATTTGGCCTTGATGTATTAAAACTATTTTGCAATCATTCAGTTCAATTTTAAAAGGAAAAAAACTTGTTTGTCAATTTAAAAAACTGTTTCTCAGTTTCACAAGTTTTTTTGTGAATCCTAGGACTGTAGGGTTTTCATAATTTTTCTCAAGTACATCATTATAGTTGGAAACTGGTTGCTGTCTTTTGATATCTCTTATAGTAATGTTCATCTTTTATCAGTTTTGATCAATAAGGCTCTTACAAATACATGTAGAGCTACTTGTTACAATGTCCTCTGCAACTGACTCCTCAGCCTTGAGCTTAACAGTTAAACCTTTCTTTCCTTTTTCCTCAATGTCTTTATTAATGGCCACCGTACCTCCCTGATATCTCCTGGTCTATGTTTTTCATTCTTGACTTTCATGAACGGATTTCATGAAAAATATCCAGGATGCCACTTTTTCTTTGTATTGAACAAGTACACAAATGTCACACACAGACATCACATTCTTCTTGTTCATTTAAACTTCTTCCAGCATTAATAAGGCTTGTTATTTTCTTTATATCCTATTGGAAAACAGGGTCTTGCATAGATGCGTGGTGCAGAGTCTATTACACCATCATATATTCCATGTTTTACCAGGAGTTTAGTCTGTGTGTCATATTCACAATCATGTTTGTATGCATGCCAAAAGACAATCGCTAAACTCGGGTGACGTTAATTATGGCGTAGCTATGTCACATTTGAAAAATATAAGTAATGGATTTTATTGTGTATAGAACTTGAAATGACAACCTTAAAAGAGTTGATAGATTTTCTTTACTGCACAAGGCAATGACAATCCTTCCTTGTTAAGCTGAGTATATATCTTTACTGTCAAGGTAAACGTCTACAAAGCTATTGTTCTTTCGTCTCTGTCTGTCATTTCATAAGGTAGCACTGCTTGTACTCCACAAAGTAAAGTCTTACATGATACCGCGTTGACTTCTCCTTTTTGTCCTAATGGACTAATACTTCCAGCTATTGTATGAAAGTCTTAACATAAAAATATCATAAAAATGCTCTTTGAACTCCACAACACAGGCGTTGGTGCTTATTTTCCTATCCTTACTTCGCATGCTTTCAGGCACACGGCGCCGAAGGTTATTCTAGAGCGACCGTATGGAAAACAGCTCACCATGTTTTGTATGGGAACAAAAAAATGTTAATAAGTTTGAGTCTGAATTTTAGGGTGGTCCATTTTTGCTTGAGGTCGTACATATCCTCTGTGACATAGGTCTCTCTATAATTGTGGTGCATTTTTGTGGAACAACTTCAAAAACCTGAGTTCCTCTGCCATCATATTTTCATTTGAACAGCCCACAGGGCATTATTCATGTGGTAGTCGTCGTCGTTGTTATGATAGATAAGAAATATACTTAGGTTTGATATGTTTTTGTTATCTCATTTAATATAAACGACAACTTTTTTGAAAATAGACATGTTTCGACATCTCATGATGCCATCTTCAGTATGAATGAAATAATAGGTGATACAGGGTTTATATAAAAGTAATATGATACATAAATTGGAACAATAAAAAGGAAATAAGATAATATAATGAGGAGCGTCCGAGCGTATTATAAACTAAATATTGTATTGAATTTAAAAACTTGAACATTGAGGTCAGGGTTAGTTTTGTTAATGTGGAGTGCTTCTTTGATTTTAAGGGTGAATGAGGTGTCGGCAGTGTCGATGATTTTGAAACAAGAGGGTATATAGTTGGTTTTGCATGAGTGAGATTTAAGAAGGTGTCGGTAGATGTGAGAGTTTTTGTCTGTTGTGGTATGTTCCCTGATTCTGGTGGATAAATGGCGCGAAGTTTCGCCAATGTATCGGGAATTACATCCCGCGCAATTGAATTCATATACGACCATAGATTTAATTGAATCAGGGATTGGGTCTTTAAATGAGAAAAGGTTTTTGATTTTGAATGATGTGAAAATTAGTCGAATGTCAATATCTGTACAGAAGCGTTTCATAATGTTTGTAAGTCTGCGTTGTGTGTGTCGTGAGTAATGTCCGATGTATGGTAGTTTGAAGTATAGAGTTGTTATTTTGGAATTTTCATTTGTGTTGGTTGTGATCGTCGTGTCAGGAGTTTCGGTGTCTAGGTTGAGGTTGTTGCTTTGTTTGTTGTCGAGATATCGTTTTACGGTTCTGTTAATAAAGTGAAGTGGGAAAGAGTTTCGTAAAAGAGTGGATGTGACGTTTTTTATGTCTCGTTTTTCATGTCTCTTAGCTAAGTATCTTAGTTGGTGGTGTTAGTAGAGAACTCTACTAACACCACTAACTAAGTTCTCTACTAACACCACCAACTAAGATACTTAGCTAAGTATCTTAGTTCTCTACTAACGCCACTCATACCAGATGACCACTCCACTAAAGATTCTTTCACTTTCCTCGACGACTTCTCATCTTTCAACTCAACTTCTTGTCACAAATTCTTCATCTCCTACGACGTTGAAAGCCTATTTACTAACATACCACTTACTGAAACCATCAACCTAGCAATCGACTTAATATTCACTCACAACCCCACGTTCAGTATAAACAGGACCGACCTCACACAACTGTTTTTAATAGCAACAGCACAGACGCATTTTTATTTAATGGAAAATTTTATGACCAGACGGACGGTGTTGCGATGGGCTCTCCTTAGCACCCATACTTGCTAACATTTTCATGGGCTCACATGAACGAAACTGGCTAAACAACTACAACGACACTAAACCACTATTTTACCGCAGATACGTTGACGATATTTTTGTGTTTTACTAACGAAACTGAGGCCATGAAGTTTTATAATTACATTACACACAGCACGCAAACATTAGATTTTCTTTGAAACTGAACAACAAGATAAACTGCCATTTCTTGACATTTTACTAACAAAATCTCACGACAGCTGTACAACATCTACATACCACAAACCAACGTACACAGGACTTCTGACGAACTATTTTAGTTTCACACCACTTTCATACAAAACCGGACTTATACGCACACTAATCGACAGAGCATACAAACTTAACAATACGAACAATGGCTTTCAACGAGACATAAAAAAACATCACATCCACTCTTTTACGAAACTCTTTCCCACTTCACTTTATTAACAGAACCGTAAAACGATATCTCGACAACAAACAAAGCAACAACCTCAACCTAGACACCGAAACTCCTGACACGACGATCACAACCAACACAAATGAAAATTCCAAAATAACAACTCTATACTTCAAACTACCATACATCGGACATTACTCACGACACACACAACGCAGACTTACAAACATTATGAAACGCTTCTGTACAGATATTGACATTCGACTAATTTTCACATCATTCAAAATCAAAAACCTTTTCTCATTTAAAGACCCAATCCCTGATTCAATTAAATCTATGGTCGTATATGAATTCAATTGCGCGGGATGTAATTCCCGATACATTGGCGAAACTTCGCGCCATTTATCCACCAGAATCAGGGAACATACCACAACAGACAAAAACTCTCACATCTACCGACACCTTCTTAAATCTCACTAATGCAAAGCCAACTATATACCCTCTTGTTTCAAAATCATCGACACTGCCGACACCTCATTCACCCTTAAAATCAAAGAAGCACTCCACATTAACAAAACTAACCCTGACCTCAATGTTCAAGTTTTTAAATTCAATACAATAGTTAGTTTATAATACGCTCGGACGCTCCTCATTATATTATCTTATTTCCTTTTTATTGTTCCAATTTATGTATCATATTACTTTTATATAAACCCTGTATCACCTATTATTTCATTCATACTGAAGATGGCATCATGAGATGTCGAAACATGTCTATTTTCAAAAAAGTTGTCGTTTATATTAAATGTGTATTGGCAATAGTGCTTTTACGAAATTATGGAAACATTTTTGTTATCTGTCATTTGGTACTGTTTTTATTTAAAAATTGGTCTTTAATGGCTCAAAATGATATAAGTTTTATTAGATTTTATAGTTTTATCTTTTATTTCTTGTAATAGGAAAAATTGTATCACCTCCTCCTGGCACAAGTTTTACATTTTCACCTGGAGAAACAGAAATTATAACCTGGACATTTAATGATAGTATAAATGATTTGGAGAGTAGAGATTGGTATTTCAGTGGTAGTAGTAATGGTTCACAAGGAATACGATTGGCCACTGTCGCTCGGGATTCATCAGTGGATAACTTTAAAGATCCAATTCTTCCAATTTATGATGTCTACAAACCTTCAACGTTGCAATTAAGAAATATCACTTATAGTTATGATGGAACGTATGAGTTTCGATTAGCAAGAAAGGACAGTCCGTTATCTCCTTTTATATCTAAAGTCAGAGTTTTCGTTGCAAGTAAGTCGTCCTTTTTTTATTATTTTATATTTTTATCAGTTTTAGAAATTTATATTTTTCGTTTGAAAATTAATTAAAGCAGTAGTCAGACCTTAACACAACTTTCGCTCATATGAAAGTGTATATTGTTCTTACCTCTCTCACGAAATCCTAGGTTTCCAATTCAAATTTAACTCGAGAAATAATGCCTTAAATGTGTGTATTTTTGTATCGCCATTGTGTACATGCGAGCGAAGCCGCAGTCCAGCAGCGGTTTCTCGTCGTTACGTCACTGCGCGGTGATCGTTGTCAACATTAGACTAAATATACTAGCAAAAGTAGAAATTACGCATAAGCATATTCATAGTTGCATTTTATTTTCTAAGTTTTTAAATTATTTTGCGCAATGGATACGGATTACTCAAACGATTCCTCTAGTAATTATTCTGGAAGCAGTGTTTCAAACTACGAAGAAATGATTAACGATCAAAACATGATTCAACCATATGCTTATGAGCCGATTGAAACAGACTCTAGCGACGAGCCTATGGACGACTCCGACGAAGTTCAGCTGTTGTAACAATGAATGAAGACTCAGCACAATTTGAGGTAATAGATACTCCGGACTGTATTACAGATAATCCTGTTTTTATACGAACACAATATTATATCACTTTTCCCCTTGCTGCTTTCCACATTGAACTTGTGCTTGTTTTCTGCCAGTGTTTACATTGTGGTCTATCACTGCCAACTTGGTTCTTGCAAGCATACCTTTATACGAAAAGCACTTTTAATAAAGTATTTTCCGTCCTTCCACTTGTGCTTATCGTGTTCCCAAAAGGGCGAAAAAATTGGGTAGCCAAGCCAAATATGGCGAGTAAGTCATATTCTTTTGTGCAAGGTATGATGGAAGATGTCTGCTGTTTTAATGTAAAAAATGTACGTAACAAGATTTCTTTACCAGCAAACATTCCAAGAAATATTGCATCTATAGAAAAGCCAAACAAAGAAAGTGTTTTACAAGCACACAAATCAAGAATGGGTAAATAGTCCCCAAAAAATATTTATGTATATATCAATATATATAATTAATAGTAAGAGAATCTCTAATAGTAAAGTAGCCCAATTTTTTGTTTTGCTATGCAAATTTATTAGCAAAGGAACTTTTCAATTATGTACACCAAAATCCTTGCATAGCACAAATAAAGAATTGGTTTGGCTTGGCCATTATAATTTGTATTTATTGTTCATTTACTAAATCCAATTTATATTTTTATTTATTAGTAATTCATACTTAACAATACTTATAAATATGGCTATAATATTTTAAATTACCATTATTATTCATCAGCAAATTTAAAACCCTCAAAGACAAAGTCCTCTTCTAGACCTGGTGTTTGGAAATGTGCTTGAATGCAGCTAACAGCACAAGATGGTAGTGGTACTCTAATTTCCTTGCCCAATACATTCCAACACCATCGAACCAGTTGCCTGTAAGCCACATGTCTTTGTCTTTTGTGTTCAGGTCCTTCTTCAGCTCTTGAACCATAGTGTTGTTTGTACTCACTCCATGCCAGTCGTAATACCCAATAATTTAAACAAAGATTTCGAAAAACAGGATTATCTGTAATACAGTCCGGAGTATCTATTACCTCAAATTGTGCTGAGTCTTCATTCATTGTTACAACAGCTGAACTTCGTCGGAGTCGTCCATAGGCTCGTCGCTAGAGTCTGTTTCAATCGGCTCATAAGCATATGGTTGAATCATGTTTTGATCGTTAATCATTTCTTCGTAGTTTGAAACACTGCTTCCAGAATAATTACTAGAGGAATCGTTTGAGTAATCCGTATCCATTGCGCAAAATAATTTAAAAACTTAGAAAATAAAATGCAACTATGAATATGCTTATGCGTAATTTCTACTTTTGCTAGTATATTTAGTCTAATGTTGACAACGATCACCGCGCAGTGACGTAACGACGAGAAACCGCTGCTGGACTGCGGCTTCGCTCGCATGTACACAATGGCGATACAAAAATACACACATTTAAGGCATTATTTCTCGAGTTAAATTTGAATTGGAAACCTAGGATTTCGCGAGAGAGGTAAGAACAATATAAACTTTCATATGAGCGAAAGTTGTGTTAAGGTCTGACTACTGCTTTAAAGCAATACATGTATTCAGTTAGAAACGTAGAAAAATAATGAAATACATCTATTTAGTTATAATAAAATGAAATACATCTATTTAGTTAGAAACGTAGAAAAATAATTAGACCAGTGGTTGCAACGTTAGGGGTCTAAGAAGTTCAAACCATGTTTATGCGTCGTATGGTTCATGTTATTGGTTGATTACGAAATCATGGGTTAAAGTGTATATTAGCTACCAGAGGCGGTTCTAGAATTTTTCAAACGTCAGCCATAAAACTGCGGACGCCGGACATATTCCCTTGGAAAATTTTGAAACATAAGGTGCTAGAAATGCGATTTCAAGCATTTTGGAATACCTTATCTGTCAATTTTTGCAGGGTTACAAAGTGAGCGAAATCGCCGTTGTTAAAAATCAATGATAATAATCAATGCTCTTCCTCATGTTTACTACATCATTCTTCAAAGTGGTTATCAAATGAAAACCATCTTTAACATCAATAGTTTTTCCATGCAACAATTGCGTACTGGAAGAGTAGCACCAAGAATCTTTGAGGTAAAAACTAGCGCACCAATAAAATGAAATTGAGTGACTAATGAAAGTAAGTGAGAAGCATCAGCAGCAAGGGAAGGCTTTACATCGTGGCTTACATTGTTTATCATGTCCTGAAGAGTTTCGATTAAAGAGATAAACGTTCGAACGTTTCAAGAATGTAAACTCGCTCAACCCATCTGGTTTTACAAAGACTTACCAGTTTTGCCTTCGTGGTCTGAACATCTGACTTTTTCACATGCTCTGCAAGAGGCATGTTGCGTATCTGTGATATGTTGATAAAATTAGCAGTTTGAGAAACAACAGATAACATGTTATTAATTTCAACGTTGGAAAGAGTGTTACAGACAGATGAATTTAGTCGATGACTATAGTGAGTGTATAAATTGCATTCATTAAAAAATCAACAAATCGTTGAACGAGGGGCAACTGTTCTTTGTGAGAAGAATCGCAGCTTCATCTGCAATAATAGAATAATATCTATTTTTTATCTCCTTCGATATTACCTGATCAATACAATTGATGATTTTTTTTTGGCTTGTCTTGGCAATATTCTTTTATGCTTGCCACATTCGAACAAATGATTTTCCAAAGTTTGATCACCAGCTCTAACTCTAGAATTTTAAGATTCAACTAAATTACCATTTTTTGCCAAACAAATGCTTAGACACGCCTATGACATATCTTGGAAAAGCCATCCTACCAACAATTCTCTGTACGGTACGCTTCCTCGTGTGTCTGAAACGGTTCGTCAGCGGCGTTTGACTCTGCGCGCCATGTTAGTCGTCATGAAGAGCCCGCTGGTAGGCTTCTGCTATGGACACCCTCAGCAAAAAGAAGAATTGGGCGCCCGTTTGTCACCCTCAAGAACATCATTGAGGAAGAAACTGGCTTGTCTGGACAAGACCGGTTGACTGCAATGGCAAATCGCCAACGCTGGCACTTGGAATACGTTCATGTTTCACCTGAGCCATCTGGCATTGGATGACGCAAGGCAAAGCAAGGCAAAATTACCAACATTGTTTTTAACTAAATAGCAAACAACCTCTGAGTGAAATTGAGTATCATCACGATGACGTCGTAATCCAATGGCAGTTAAGAAACACCAAAGCAAAACCTTTGTCAACAAGACGAAGTCCATCTGGTGCATTACTGTGCATATTTTGCTTTTAGAGGTTATTTGAATTTTCCAGGAGCAGAAAACCTTTTGTGATAGTAACAAAATATATGTAAAACATGCACATAGCTGACATACATTAAATAATTATTTGGTGAAGCTGTGCTTGATATTGAGAATTATCTAGGCAGAGTTTGTCTCAGGGAGAGGTTGTTATTATCAATCGTAGGCAAGCATAAATGCAAACCGAGGCTTCGATCATTGTAGATATCACGCAAAACTGAATGCGATAATTATTTTATTACTCACCTCAACTACCTGTAAAAAACTCTTGAAATTTCAGCTAATGTGTCGTCGTGAGGCAGTTAGTTTATTCAATTTCTTAACGTTCCATTCACTTTTTTTATTAACACTAGTCGTATCCCATAATTTGCAACAATTATTGAAGTAAAGACAAACTTTTGCATTGTGTATGGATATAAGTGTATTAACATAAGCCTTTGAGATAAATCCCTAATAAGTTATGGAGTCACCAGCAACCAATGGAGGTTTTGTTTTTGTTAAACAGTAAGGCCAATCGTTGATGTTCAGCACAAAACGTAATGGCCCTAAATACGTAGAATCATGTGGCAATCCACACTTAATCAATTTTTATGATAATGAAAGTCTATTTATTTGACATTTCTGTACTCGAATATGAAATATTTGCTATCTCATCCTATTTGCGATCCTTCTGCGTTCAAAGATTAAACATAAGTTTAAAATTAATCTCAATCGGAACAAATCGTTGGCAATTAGGTCCTATCAAAATGTTATGAAGACAAGAATAAAAACAAAACTACACAGGCTTAATACAGTTGTTTAATTTTCAATGCTATCTGATTTTTGGGTAAACGTTTGAAAGGCAATTGTTAAAAAATGATATAAGTTTTATTAGATTTTATACTTTTATTTTTCATTTCTTGTGATAGGAAAAATTGTATCACCTCCTCCTGGCACAAGTTTTACATTTTTACCTGGAGAAACAGAAATTATAACCTGGACATTTAATGATAGTATAAATGATGTGGAGAGTAGAGATTGGTATTTCACTGGTAGTAGTAGTGGTTCAAACGCAATACGATTGGCCACTGTCGCTCGGGATTCATCAGTGGATAACTTGAAAGATCCAATTCTTCCAATTTATGATGTCTACAAACCTTCAACGCTGCAATTAATAAATATCACTCATAGTTATGATGGAACGTATGAGTTTCGATTAGCAAGAAAGGACAGTCCGTTATCTCCTTTTATATCTAAAGTCAGAGTTTTCGTTGCAAGTAAGTCGTCCTTTTTTTATTATTTTGTATTTTTATCAGTTTTAGAATTTTATATTTTTCGTTTGAAAATTAATTAAAGCAATACATGTATTCAGTTAGAAACGTAGAAAAATAATGAAATACATCTATTCAGTTAGAAACGTAGAAAAATAATTAGACCAGTGGTTGCAACGTTAGGGGTCTAAGAAGTTCAAACCATGTTTATGCGTCGTATGGTTCATGTTATTGGTTGATTACGAAATCATGGGTTAAAGTGTATATTAGCTACCAGAGGCGGTTCTAGAATTTTTCAAACGTCAGCCATAAAACGGCGGACGCCGGACATATTCCCTTGGAAAATTTTGAAACATAAGGTGCTAGAAATGCGATTTCAAGCATTTTGGAATACCTTAACTGTCAATTTTTGCAGGGTTACAAAGTGAGCGAAATCGCCGTTGTTAAAAATCAATGATAATAATCAATGCTCTTCCTCATGTTGACTACATCATTCTTCAAAGTGGTTATCAAATGAAAACCATCCATAACATCAATAGTTTTTCCATGCAACAATTGCGTACTGGAAAAGTAGCACCAAGAATCTTTGAGGTAAAAACTAGCGCACCAATAAAATGAAATTGAGTGACTAATGAAAGTAAGTGAGAAGCATCAGCAGCAAGGGAAGGCTTCACCTCGTCGCTTACATTGTTTATCATGTCCTGAAGAGTTTCGATTAAAGAGATAAACGTTCGAACGTTTCAAGAATGTTAACTCGCTCAACCCATCTGGTTTTACAAAGACTTACCAGTTTTGTCTTCTTGGTCTGAACATCTGACTTTTTCACGTGCTCAGCAAGGGGCATGTTGCGTGTCTGTGATATGTTGATAAAATTAGCAGCTTGAGAAACAACAGATAACATGTTATTAATTTCAACGTTAGAACGAGTGTTACAGACAGATGAATTTAGTCGATGACTATAACAGTGAGTGTATAAATTGCATTCATTAAAGAATCAACAAATAATAGAACAAGGGGCAACTGTTCTTTGTGAGAAGAATCGCAGCTTCATCTGCAATAATAGAATAATATCTATTTTTTATCTCCTTCGATATTACCTGATCAATACAATTGATGATTTTTTTTGGCTTGTCTTGGCAATATTCTTTTATGCTTGCCACATTCGAACAAATGATTTTCCAAAGTTTGATCACCAGCTCTAACTTTAAAATTTTAAGATTCAACAAAATTACCAACAATGTTTTTAACTGAAAAGCAACCAGCCTCTGAGTGAAATTGAGTATCATCACGATGACGTCGTAATCCAATGGCAATTAAGAAACACTAAAGCAAAACCTTTGTCAACAAGACGAAGTCCATATTTAGTCGACATGGAATTCTGGAAACGATAGTGTCCGATAATCAGCCTCATTACTCATTGGAAGAATGTAAACAGTTTGCGTTAGACTACCATTTCACACATAACACCATAAGTCCGAGTTATCCACACTCAGGTGGATTACGTAAGATAAACAGTTCAGACAGTCAAAAACGTTCTCAAGAAATGCAAAGCGAATGGGCAAGACCGACAAGAATATCTCGCGTTGTTAGACTATCGTAACACCCCTATTGACAGTGTGAGCCCTGCGCAAGCCACTTTGATCAACCATTCCTACTTTACGATGTAAGCTGTATCCCAAACCTATCGACCAAGCTACATTTCACACTGTTCGTCAATAACTGCACTGCCAAGGCTTCGCAACAACTGAAAGAAGGTGAATGAGTGAGATTTCGCCAAGACTCGGTATGACCATGGACTCGCGAAACGATGATACGAAAGCATCAAACACCCAGAAGCTACATGGTAAAAAGCGACTACAGAACAGAACACAGAAGAAGTCGTAGGTACATACGAAAGACACGGGAAGAACCACCCGACCTCCACAACCTGGATGATGATAATACTCAAGACCTGAATTCAGATTCATCTGCAAATGCTGCTACAGAGAATGCCCAATGGGGTTGGGATTGTGTGACAGAATGATTTTCTTCCAATATATAAAGATGACATTGCTTGCGAAAAACAAATTCTTGGTTATGGAATGTTTTCACTGCTCGCCATGTTGGTAGAAAATCTCCTATAGGTAAAAGAATCTGCATTGATTTTATGTTGTGTTGAGCGTAGGCCCTTAGAAGTTGCCTACCAACATGACCGCTTTGACGTCATCACACGAAAGAGCTTCATTCTTTTTTTTCATCGTTAGTAGATAAAAGTAATTTGCTTAATAATTTCTTAGGAAATCTATTCGAAAGGAATATCCTTTTCAAGAAGTTATGATCACTTTCCTTGAACTCATCCGATGGCAATCTCTGCTTCCATTTTATTAAACACCTAACGAAAGTAACCTTCTCCCATCGTGACTCTTTCTTTTCACGTGTTAAAGATACCTTGTGCCTTAGCAAGCGTTACCAATTGAACTTTACCTTTTAAGTATGAAAAAATCTTCATAACATCCGGTGAAGAATTATTTTTGTAGTATGTTCTCTTTATTGTGTACAATTTTTTAAAGCTTTCATCCACCTCATCAGCCAAAACCACCTTGGTGTCCCTTGAAGATACACAAATAATGTCGAACACCATTCTTTTTTCTTGAGCCCAAGTCTTGGCCTGCCTAGTCATTTTCAGACTGTAAGTCGACAATATCCAATAGGAAGCCAACGTTATGAGAAACAATTTGATATGACTTGCATGTTGTTCAATAGTCAACTGACTTCGATAATATCCTCAGTATTAGTTTTGGTGTCTTGTCTTTTGGATTCCAATGAGAAACCGAAAGTAACTTTTTGCTATCATGAAGTTCTCCACTATTCCTATGTTGAAATGATTTTGTTATACCGATTATTTATAAATGTTCCGCTCGTCGTTTTACAGTGTTCATTCGTTTTACCGATTGTCCAGTAAGTGAAATCTTTCACCACTGTTGATACTTCCACTGTCTAAACCTTTGTTGCTTTCAATAAATGGCAATCTTCTATTTACCATACCAAGTACACGGTCAGAAGCATACTGATGGTTTTTGTGAATCTTGAGACAACTCTTTTAGTGTAGATGGTAAAGGTCACTTACCAGTCTCAAGCATTTGTAACTGCGTTCGATATTAAAGACGCTGGGCTTTTTATTTCTCGCTCTTTCAATGCACTTGATTTCAGACGTTTCAAAACGCTATTGACTAAAAACATACAAAAATGCAATGGCAGGTCTTTTGTGGCGACGCGGATGCCATTACTATCTTTAGCAAGATCTTCCTCTACTGGATGTCCTTCCTCAATGAGTTGTGATGTGTTCCTACCAAAAAGTGTACACTGTGTTTAAATTTACTGTGCAATTATCAGTTTTCTTACCTTTTTCGCTTTTTTTTGATGAGTATAGTTCTCAGTGTGATTATAGTTCTACGTACTGTTCTACATAGCTATAAAAATGGTTTGGGTTATTTTACATATATTTTACGATTAATGCGACATATCCTTATGTAAGGTGTTAAAAGATATTATGCATGTTTCGTTCTATAACGCAAAACGCATAAATTTACCGAAAGAATGAAGAATACACAGCATAAAAGCAATGTATAATTTTAGCTACATCAGCGCGCTTCATTAAAACATTTGATAAGATATTTCAGGCTGTTCCTTCACTCAAAAATTAAGTTTTACAAACTAACCGTAGCAGACTCAATGGTTGATGTAACACCCGTCTCTTTTAATAACAGATAATAATCTACGATCAACTGAATCAGTCAACACTTTAATTGCATCTTTCCTAATATGACTGGCAGCTATTTGGATGGCATTCTAAAGCTCGTCGAGCGAATTGTATTGTTTCCCAAAAACATACACATCTTTTTTCAGCATCGACCACAGATTTTCAATGAAGTTGAGGTCGGGAGAACAGTGTGGCCATTTCATTAGATTTTTGTCTTTAATGCCAATCTTCTTTAACCAATACTGGTGCACCTTGCAGCATGAGCAGGAGCATTGTCGTGCTTGAATATTAGAGTTTTCCGCAGTCTTAGAGGCTGCTTCCTCCATCAAGGACGAAAATTCTTGTCTGGGAAGGCACTACACGACGTTGCTGTGATTTTTATCGTGTCTTCAATGCGAAATGACCCTATGAGTGTCTCTAATGATTCTACCCAAAACATAGCCCCTCCTCCCCCTTGCTGACGAGACTTTAGGATCGAGGCTTGTGATCTGACGACACCCAAATTTGGTCCCAGTCCGAGTCGCACGGCATTCATTTGTAAATATGACTTTTGAAAAGTCCACTTTCATGTATTTTCTGGCTCATTCAATTCTTTTTTTTTTGTGTCTCTGATTTGAGGGGTAGATTTTTCACAGCATTCTTCATGCTGGCACATTCACGTAACACTTTGCAACGAGTAGTACGGCAGACATTAGGCATATCACACGCCTCAAATATCTGCATATTTGTTGCTAAAGGTGTCTTCATTACTTGGCGATGGATTTTCTGCAGTTTGCGTTCAGTCAGCTTCGTAAATTTTGGCTGTCAGTGTTTCTTACGTCCATGGTGACTCGTTGCCACCATCTTTTTGACTGTACGGTGATCGCGCTGCAGAGATTTGGCTAGTTGCAATGTCGATTTTTCCACTTGCCCATTCTTTAGTCACAAACTCTTTTTATTTTACCGTCAGAACTGGTTTTTGGTCCCTTCTGTTACTAGAGTATTTTTTGCTTAATAACTTTAAACACCTTCATTCCTTTTTGTTATTAAAATCTAACTTTACATTTTTCAAGAGTGCTTTTCATCACTAATCATGCATTTCAAATGACTTCGTTTCCCTATTACGTTATTTACACTTTTCATTGCTTGCTCAGCACACCAGAAGTTTTAACAACGAGAAACCTGTTTTGCATATTAAATATAAACATAGTGTATGAACAGCGAATGTATAATCCAACTTCTGATTTCTTATTGTTTACTTGCTTACATGTTAAAGCATCAAAAAGTTCATATCTACCGACCTTTGGCAACGCACCATTGCCTGATATGCACTCCTCTGTCAAACGGTAAGAGGACTTGATCAATTTGTTTTGCTGTAAAATTAACTTAGCTTTAGAAGAGTCGTATAGTTTCAAATGATCTCGTTGATCGTTTGTTTTTAATGGGAGGTTAGTGATGATCTCTTCTGCCATTCACAGAAGATTTTTCCACGTATTATTTTTCCTTTGATGGTTTCTTACATAAACGCATCTCCAATACGGATAGCTTAGAAGTTGCAAGCTTTAGTATTTATCGTCATTTTTGTGTCCTACGTGTTGCCCGTGATGATTTGGCTTTGAGGCAAATGTCCTTGGCATCACTTACGACAAAATCAAGATCAACTCCTTTATATCCAGTGCTTTGATTGTATTTTCTCGATGACAAGTGACTTTAAAAGGTTTAATGTCCGAAGAAAGCCACCGAGTATTCGAATTCTTTACAGAAATGATAGCTTACTTTTGGATTTATTATTCCAAATGCTACAGTACCCAGAGACTCAATATCCGCTTTTTTCAAGCTATCCTGGCTTGGATTTTTTAGCTGACCAAGGATTTCTGGTGCCTTATGAACAAGAGAACCTTGCAAATTTTGTCCGTTCTCGATTTTACGATAGCCAAGTTTGAACATTCAACGATCTACTCAATCCAAAGTCAAATACTTGGCATGAAATCGGAGATTTTTGGTATATTTCTGCAAAATCGTCGCTATTAAAGTAACGCTGATTAGTCTCCAAAATATTCGTTGGCTTTAAATCTCTTTTAACTATGTTTTCTCTGTGTTAGTACTCAAGACCGTTCACCAACTTCTTTAAGCACACTGACATAATCTTAGCGAATGATTCGAAACGCTGTCATAAGAGTTATAAAAGTCTACATTACTTACTACTTTTTTTTCCAAATGGAGTTACGTCAAAGGCATTGTGTGGCCAACGTGACTCATTTGGAAAAGCGCCGCTTAGATTTGATGCATTCATCTTTTAATTTTTTCACGAGGACGTTACGTCCAACTTACCTATCATAACTTCTGCATAGCATGTGGACTGAACAGTTTCAAATGCGTTATTTTAAAAAAGGGAAGGAAATTGGAGGAAAGGAATAGGAAACACAAAAAAGGGAAACGGAAACGCTGAAAATTCCAAGAGAAACTCGTGCGACGTGGCCAAGTAAAACCCGTTATTTTTAGTAGATGTTAAGAAGAAGGTTTAATGCTATTACGAACTTTTATTCAATGAATTGCGAGAAAGTCTCTTAGAAAGATATTCGTCATAGCCAGCTGGCCAAATGTTTTTGGGCTTCAAAAACCGATTTGCCCTTATTTTAAAGGTAATAAAGTATGTAATGCAGTGATAATTTACCTTTCCATTATTCCATATAAACCATGAGACCAAGTTGAACAAGCATTCACTTGTCTGTTAAATTGACTGTATTTGATGACTCACTATTTTGTGAATTTAAAAATTTTGAAAAGTAATATGTAAACAAAGATACGTTTTATCTTGGAAATTTCAGCTAATGAAATAAAATGAATTAGATTATTATTTTTTGTTGCTTTAACTTCATGATATGGTACATAACTCAAGCATTTAGATAATTATTTGAAGAGTGAAGAAACTCACACTTTCTTTAATTAAAGTATGTATTAAATAAGATTTAAATTGTTAGGTGCCAATTTTAAACATTTTCGTTTCATATTTTAATATCATATTATAGAGGGAAATTATGCTTACACTTTACTTGATATTGACCAACATTTTTTTTGTAATAAGAAATTTAAGACAAATCTAAAAAATCTTAATTTACATGCAGGCCGGGCAAAGCCATCTCGATTATTTACTCCTGTTATATAAATTTTAAATATAAATTTTAAAATTTGATATGTCTTGGGCCGTCATTTGGTCCATGCTATTGGTTGATTATCGAATGATGGGTTTAATTACGTATTAGCCACTCAGATAAGGAGAGCATTTTTTGGTCGTGAAGCTTACGGGAAATGAGTGCTTCTTTTGTGTTTCACGAAATAAAAGGAGATGGAGGAGATTGAATTTTAAAAAAACTTGAATTACTTAATCAGACATGTATAAAACATTTTTAATGTTGACTCAAACCGCAAGTTAAAAAGACAGAAGATGTTTGAAACTTTGCTATATGTCTGGATTGCTACTTTAAAGTAGATATAGTTTTTTGCTAGAGCAGCTTATTCTAAATGGCATGCGTCAGCGCAATTCTTACCACAAAATTGGCAATAAAAACGTAGGACTTCTTATTGCGTTGCATTAATTGTGACAGAAATATTTGCTATTTTCAGCTATTAGTTGGACGCTTATTAAAGCCTTGCAATTTCAGAAAAATTTCTTAGACTTAATTTTTTCATTGTGTTAAGGAGAAGATTGTTTCAGCATCCATTTTCTTTATCATAATTAGTGAAATTTGTTTGCTTTTGTTTTCAGTAAAACCTACAGTGGTGATTAATTGTTCAACACCTCTGGCTGTGAGTAAAGGTGATAATGTGTCATGTGTATGTAGAGGTGAAGGAGGTAACCCTCCTGCTAATGTCACATGGTTTGATAAAGATAACAACATAATTGGTGATGTTGGAGTTGTAAGTAAGACATTAGTAATCACTAATGTTACATTGAACGATGGTGGAAATTACAGATGTAAAGCACAAAGTTATAATGATCCACGTTTTATTGACGAGAAATCCCTTGAAATAAAATTTAATTGTAAGTCTTAGTAATAGTAATTATAAGTAACTTATATATTTTTTACTCTTTGCAGTAGTGTTTTTAAGCTTTCAACCACGTAGAATTTGGAATTCTTAATTTTAGATAAACCAAGAAGTACGATCTTAACCATATCAAAAACAAATGCAATAAAAGGTCAAACAAATGCAATAAGTTGTGAATCAGATGGTTATCCTGAACCAACCTACACTATTTATCATAATGGTGCAGTTATCAGTAATAATAAGACATACATCATTCAATCTGTCAACTTCAATCACGCTGGTTCATATCGTTGTGAAGCAAAGAATAAACTGGGAGATGATTTATCTGATGTTAAAAATCTCATTGTCATCAAAGGTAAAATTTGCTAAGAAAGTAAGAGCAGAGAGTTATCGCCATGAAAATTATACATGTATGGATGTGAAATATAAATAGAAATAAAAATAGGACGCAAAGCGTACATGTGGATAGCCCAGCTGTTTACTATGGTTATAAAATGAAGTAGATAAATATTTAATGAATGCATTTTCAATAATATTATAAAATTGTTCACAATAAGCTTATCCGAGATTTGCTTTTTGCTTAATGTTCGATCAAGTGACTCAAGAACTGTCTAACCCTTTTTAATTTACGCCACGCCCTTGCTTAGATTTTATATCACGTGACTATGGTCACATCTTGGAAAGGGAAGCCTTAGAAATTTCTCAAAAATTTTATCTGTTGTTTCATTATAATTTTCCCTAAAAACTATTTTTGCTATAAATACTATATTGACAACAACATCTCTTTCAAAACAGTTTTCTGACATGTATGAGATATGAAATATTTTTCAAATATTTTTTTTCTAACGATTCTGGAAAACTTGACTCGACCTTCGGTCTCGGGCTTGCACTTGTCTGCTCTCGAGTTCTCCCGAAGGTTTGCATAAGCCTGGGCAAACACAGTAAACATCTTTTATTTCTTAAATGAAATTGAAGTAAGAAAGGTAAGGTAAGACGAAGCTAATGGTTCGTGCTTTTTTTGTGTAGTATTGGAGTTATCCAGCTCCATCAGTCGATCAAGGCCATTTTTTACTTCAACGTCAACTTCTATTAACAACAATTTCAAAGGTATCTTTAATAAAAGAAGTTATAATTTTCTAGGTACTCCCACGAGTTAATAGTGGACTGGAACCATGCAGTTTATTGCTAAACTTTTTGTTTCTCTTCATTTATTTTCTCCCTATTTTTCGTCCTATTTAAACTTTTGAGGCTATTTTTATACATATTTTACTCTTTACATCATAGTCATCCTCTTCTTAACTGGCTTTATAGTCATTCTAAAAAGCTTCTTTTTCTTTTAGGTAACTTAACTTCTACTTCAAGAACCTTTGATAACTGTAAAACATGTAAAATAACAGAAACAAAAACGAAATGGTACATTATATTGGTAACCTTGATTTCTGGAATTATTGTTGGTATTTTTATTACATCTTTGTTCTTTTTGCGATATCGTAAACGGTGGGTGAGTAAGAAACGAAAGCAGCTGTCGACCAATGCTAAAGGTAGAGTAAACACAGTTGATTCAACTTATCAAGAATTGGATTTATCAAAAATGGATAAAGAAGATAATTATCAATCGCTGAGGACAAAAGATGAAACAGTTGATAAAACTTATCAAGAACTAAATTTATCAAAAATGAATAACGAAGACAATTATCAGTCGTTGAAAGGAAATGATAAATTCAGTTGATACAAGAAAATAAAAAATAAGACTTCGTGCATCGTGAGCCGAATTAAAATGGTGACTGTGCGAGCCATTATTGTTTTAAACGTTTAGGTCTGCATAAAGTGGTAAATTACACATCATCTTTTTAGTAATGGTTGTATTAAGTTTAACTGTTTAAGTATTAATTAGCAAACAGTACATTGGCAATACTTTCTAGAATATAGCATCCCAAATTCTTGTTCTTGGTATCCCATGTTAAATTTTCCGATTTTCTTTTTAACACCAAATAATGTTTTAATTGCATCTCATCAACTACGAAGTGCACCTCAAGTTAGTGGTTCCAATATGCAACCATTTTCCAAGGACTTTGAAAGTTTACGGAGAAAGAGATACTCGCCATCTTGGTGGAAATTTTAATTGTAAACGAGAAAAATTCTTCGTTAAATTCAACCAACTTGGCGGCCATGACGTTACATGCAACCCACTAAAGCCAAGTTCACACAACATAAGCTATCCTGGGCTTAACCCTGGTTAAAATTGTCCGCAGGTTTATTTTTTTGCGTGTAAACACTACCTACCCAAGATTCACCTAGGTTAAACTCAACCTATCTCTTGAGATGGTATGGACAAGTGTTACGGCCGGAATCCTATAAATATACAATTTTGAGCCCAAATTACTTTAAAACTTCTGTAGCAAATCTGGAAACATATTGGGTTTGAATTTGACGCAGTCTATTTTATAGTTGTGAAGAGATGCAAATTTAAAGAAAGTAACGATTATTAGGTCATTTATTTATGGCGGCCTATAGCTACAAGTACGTACCATCCATATTATTTTTTTAAACTTACTTCTACAACGAAGGCAAAGATTCCAGTCATATCACATAGAACGTTATTTAGCAATAAAAGCTCGCTTTAATCGCATTTAAAAAAAAGAAAAGGGGATCTTCACTGTACAATACTAACGGCAATTTTCAATGCAGAAACAAAATTTGACCTGGCTTCCGGACTCCAACCGTTCTCGTATCTGGTTATAAAGAGTCCCCCGTTTTTCGTTCCTGGTTTTTGTTTTTCTTGTTTTCTTACCTCCTGCTTCAACAAGTTAAAAATCGAGTTGTTAACAGTGAGTTTGGTAGGACGTAATGAAATTTAATCTTTTGATTGTTTTTACAAAGGAAATTCAAATAACTATTTGTACATGACCTGTCTGAATTTTTATTTCTGTATATCATAACTTAATTAACATTCATATATTTTCATCAAAATGTTTTATTCACAATTTTATTCAATTGTTTTATTTATCCTTCTTTTATTAACCAATCAAATTTATTCTTCTTTTGTCAAGGTCTACAGGTCTACTTCCGCCGCCATGCCACCCCACCCAGACTCAAAATATACATTAATGTACACAAACACACCTAACTCACAATTGAGTGACTTGACGACGCAAAGACGACGAATACAAGAAATTTTAAACCAGGAAGTTGAATAACTTCAACCGTTTAATGCTAAAGCAAAAGCCTAGACGTTTTGGTGAGTTAAAAATAATTTTATTTTTAGATGTAAAGTGTTAAGTTGTAGATTACTGATGGAAATTTCGTTTTATACGCTTTAAATTTGCTGTTTATAATTTTCACGGAACAATGTAATTGGCTGCTTAAGGATCTTTAACGTTGAACATGAGGCAACAGTTTTAATAAGAATATAGTTTAATATTATTGTTTACTTGAAAATGAAAAAATATCATAAGACTCATAGCTTATTATTATTACATAAATAACCAATGGAAGTACTTGACATATAATCACATATCGTTAATGCGTGATTGTCATTTCTAGAGTTTGGGTGAGGAGTTTTGCCAAACAGATAACATCATAGCCCCGAGAATAATAGTACTGAGTAAGGTTTTCGGACACGAAATCTCTACAAAGCTATAATCCTACGCCCATGAAGTTATAAAAGTTTAAGTAATAAGCCGATATTTATTATTGCTATATTGGTATTCTGTATGGGTAATGTGATTGGTTCATTTAGAGGCACGTGACTTAAAACAAATGCAATGTCTCTCTGCCTATGTTTACTTTCTTATAAAAACAAAAAACTTTTATATTGTCTGAGAACCTAGAAATAACGTTTTTTAAGTTTATTTGCTAATAAAATAAAGCTATTTATAGAAACAATTGAAAACACAAGTCAAATTCAGGATCATGTAAAGCCTTAAAATTTTTCAAAATTTATGATCTTGGGTGTGCAGTACAAACTTTCTAGTCTGGCTCAGAATTATCACCATTGATGTTTTCATATTTCGCTAAATTGGCCTGTATTTTGCCTCTTTTGTTTTTGTTTTCAACATTGGTAATTGGGAACAACATTGGGCTTTCTGCGATGTTATTATTCTCAATTGTTTTGCAAACATTTTCATGCATATTAACAAGTAATATTGCAATGCTTTCCATATTTACTGGCTCTTTTTTTCTTTCATAGATATTGATGTTGTTAACAATGAGTATCAATGTCCCCTTTATGATATCAACTTATCTTTGGTGTATGGCATTCTTTCTTCCTTGTGATGGTAAGAATTCTTAAAAATAATACTTGGGCTTGTAAGTTTTGTATATTAATAAGCTGTGTGTTGTTTTTAGTCTCTTCTTAGTGCTGTGGAAACCCCAGGTTTTCAGCTCCGGCTCTGGCCTCTTTTTGTCAATTCTGAACTCCGGTTTCAAACTCTTGCTCCTGCTATTTTATAACTTGAATCACTAGTTGTAGCTGGTTTATTTTCCAAGTCACTGTTTAACATTTTAAGGTGTAAAGTATTTATACGAAAAGTTAAATTTCTGCACTCCGACTTTCAATCAGAAATTGGCATGTGTAAACGAAATCTAGCGTCATGTTGTGTCATGTATAAAATGTTTTATTTTCATGCAAGCTCTTCAATTTTAGCAGATAGTTATCGTTCGTTGATACAAAAATGTATTGATTCAATATTTTTAGCAAAGTCTGACAGTATATTTTGCATCACGAACAACTTCTGCCAGAGTTTTGCTGGAGTTAAACAAACTTGGCTCCAGAAGGCAAAAATCGGCCAAAGCTCCTTTGCAATTTGCATTATCCTTTGCATTGTTAGTTTTGTTTTACAATGAAGTATTTACATAATTTGAAAGCTTCAGACAGTTTCCCTGATTATTTATGTTGTTAATCATTGCTTCAATAGTTAGTGCCAGGCTTGTAATCATTGTAGCATGTTGCTTTTCAATTTGCAAACTTCAAAGAAACACCAAATTGCCACTGTGTTGAAAATTGTAAGTTTTGCCCTTATATGAGATTTAAATTTCCTGATTACTTTTCTAATCCCACTGGTGCATAACTGTGTATATTTTGCTTTTAGAGGTTATTTGAATTTTCCAGGAGCAGAAAAGCTTTTGTGATAGTAACAAAATATATGTAAAACATGCACATAGCTGACATACATTAAATAATTATTTGGTGAGGTTGTGCATGATATTTAGAATTATCTAGGCAGAGTTTGTCTCAGGGAGAGGTTGTTATTATCAATCGTAGGCAGGCATAAATGCAAACCAAGGCTTCGATCATTGTAGATATCACGCAATACTGAATGCGATAATTATTTTATTACTTACCTCAACTACCTGTAAAAAACTCTTGAAATTTCAGCTAATGTGTCGTCGTGAGGCAGTTAGTTTATTCAATTTCTTAACGTTCCATTCACTTTTTTTATTAACACTAGTCGTATCCCATAATTTGCAACAATTATTGAAATGAAGACAAACTTTTGCATTGTGTATGGATATAAGTGTATTAACATAAGCCTTTGAGATAAATCCCTAATAAGTTATGGAGTCACCAGCAACCAATGGAGGTTTTGTTTTTGTTAAACAGTAAGGCCAATCGTTGATGTTCAGCACAAAACGTAATGGCCCTAAATACGTAGAATCATGTGGCAATCCACACTTAATCAATTTTTATGATAACGAAAGTCTATTTATTTGACATTTCTGTACTCGAATATGAAATATTTGCTATCTCATCCTATTTGCGATCCTTCTGCGTTCAAAGATTAAACATAAGTTTAAAATTAATCTCAATCGGAACAAATCGTTGGCAATTAGGTCCTATCAAAATGTTATGAAGACAAGAATAAAAACAAAACTACACAGGCTTAATACAGTTGTTTAATTTTCAATGCTGTCTGATTTTTGGGTAAACGTTTGAAAGGCAATTGTTAAAAAATGATATAAGTTTTATTAGATTTTATACTTTTATTTTTCATTTCTTGTGATAGGAAAAATTGTATCACCTCCTCCTGGCACAAGTTTTACATTTTTACCTGGAGAAACAGAAATTATAACCTGGACATTTAATGATAGTATAAATGATGTGGAGAGTAGAGATTGGTATTTCACTGGTAGTAGTGGTGGTTCAAACGCAATACGATTGGCCACTGTCGCTCGGGATTCATCAGTGGATAACTTTAAAGATCCAATTCTTCCAATTTATGATGTCTACAAACCTTCAACGCTGCAATTAATAAATATCACTCATAGTTATGATGGAACGTATGAGTTTCGATTAGCAAGAAAGGACAGTCCGTTATCTCCTTTTATATCTAAAGTCAGAGTTTTCGTTGCAAGTAAGTCGTCCTTTTTTTATTATTTTATATTTTTATCAGTTTTAGAAATTTATATTTTTCGTTTGAAAATTAATTAAAGCAATACATCTATTCAGTTAGAAACGTAGAAAAATAATTAGACCAGTGGTTGCAACGTTAGGGGTCTAAGAAGTTCAAACCATGTTTATGCGTCGTATGGTTCATGTTATTGGTTGATTACGAAATCATGGGTTAAAGTGTATATTAGCTACCAGAGGCGGTTCTAGAATTTTTCAAACGTCAGCCATAAAACGGCGGACGCCGGACATATTCCCTTGGAAAATTTTGAAACATAAGGTGCTAGAAATGCGATTTCAAGCATTTTGGAATACCTTAACTGTCAATTTTTGCAGGGTTACAAAGTGAGCGAAATCGCCGTTGTTAAAATCAATGATAATAATCAATGCTCTTCCTCATGTTTACTACATCATTCTTCAAAGTGGTTATCAAATGAAAACCATCCATAACATCAATAGTTTTTCCATGCAACAATTGCGTACTGGAAGAGTAGCACCAAGAATCTTTGAGGTAAAAACTAGCGCACCAATAAAATGAAATTGAGTGACTAATGAAAGTAAGTGAGAAGCATCAGCAGCAAGGGAAGGCTTCACCTCGTCGCTTACATTGTTTATCATGTCCTGAAGAGTGTCGATTATAGGGATAAACGTTCGAACGTTTCAAGAATGTAAACTCGCTCAACCCATCTGGTTTTACAAAGACTTACCAGTTTTGACTTCTTGGTCTGAACATCTGACTTTTTCACGTGCTCAGCAAGGGGCATGTTGCGTATCTGTGATATGTTGATAAAATTAGCAGCTTGAGAAACAACAGATAACATGTTATTAATTTCAACGTTAGAAAGAGTGTTACGGACAGGTGAATTTAGTCGATGACTATAACAGTGAGTGTATAAATTGCATTCATTAAAAATCAACAAACCGTAGAAGGACAACTGTTGTTTGTGAGAAGAATCGCAGCTTCATCTGCAATGATAGAATAATATCTATTTTTTATCTCCGTCGATATTACCTAATCAATACAATTGATGATTTTTTTTGGCTTGTCATGGCAATATTCTTTTATGCTTGCCACATTCGAACAAATGATTTTCCAAAGTTTGATCACCAGCTCTAACTTTAAAATTTTAAGATTCAACAAAATTACCAACATTGTTTTTAACTGAATAGCAACCAACGTCTGAGTGAAATTGAGTATCATCACAATGACGTCGTAATCCAATGGCAATTAAGAAACACCAAAGCAAAACCTTTGTCAACAAGACAAAGTCCATATTTAGTCGACATGGAATTCTGGAAACGATAGAATCCGATAATCAGCCTCATTACTCATCGAAAGAATGCTAACAGTTTGCGTTAGACTACCATTTCATACATAACACCTTAAGTCCGAGTTATCCACACTCAGGTGGATTACGTAAGATAAACAGTTCAGACAGTCAAAAACATTCTCAAGAAATGCAAAGCGAATGGACAAGACCGACAAGAATATCTCGCGCTGTTAGACTATCGTAACACACCCATTGACGGTGTGAGCCCTGCGCAAGCCGCTTTGATCAATCATTCCTACTTTATAATGTAAGCTGTATCCCAAACCTGTCAACCAAGCTACATTTCACAATGTTCGTCAATAACTGCACTGCCAAGGCTTCGCAACAACTGAAAGAAGGTGAATGAGTGAGATTTCGCCAATACTCGGTATGACCATGGACTCGCGAGACGATGATACGAAAGCATCAAACACCCAGAAGCTACATGGTAAAAAGCGACTACGGAACAGAACACAGAAGAAATCGTAGGTACATACTCAAGACACGGGAAGAACCACCCGACCATGACAACCTGAATGATGATAATACTCAAGATCTGAATTCAGGTTCAGCTGCAAATGCTGCTACAAAGAATGCCCAATGGGGTTGGGGTTGTGTGGCAGAATGGTTTTCTTCCAAACTATAAAGATGACATTACTTGGGAAAAACAAATTCTTGATTATGGAATGTTTTCACTGCTCGCCATGTTGGTAGAAAATCTCCTATAGGTAAAAGAATCTGTATTGATTTTATGTTGTGTTGAGCGTAGGCCCTTTGAAGTTGCCTACTAACATGGCCGCTTTGACATCATCACACGAAAGAGCTTCATTCTCTTTTTTCATCGTTAGTAGATAAAAGAAATTTTGCTTAATAATTTATAGGAAATCTTTTCGAAAGAAATATCCTTCGAAAAGAAATGAGTTCAAGGAAAGTTATGATCACTTTCCTTGAACTCATCCGATGGCAATCTCTGCTTGCATTTTATCAAACATCTAACGAATGTAACCTTTTTCCCATCGTGACTCTTTCTTTTCACGTGTTAAAGATACCTTGTGCCTTAGCAAGCGTTACCAATTGAACTTTACCTTTTAAGTATGAAAAAATCTTCATAACATCTGGTGAAGAATTATTTTTGTAGTATGTTCTCTTTATTGTGTACAATTTTTTAAAGCTTTCATCAGCCAAAACCACCTTGGTGTCCCTTAAAGATACACAAATAATGTTGAACACCATTCTTTTTCCTTGAGCCCAAGTCTCGGCCTGCCTAGTCATTTTCAGACTCTAAGTCGACAATATCCAATAGGAAGCCCACGTTATGAGAAACAATTTGGTATGATCTTGCATGTTGTTCAATAGTCAGCTGACTTCAATAATATCATCAGTATTTCTTTTGGTGTCTTGTCTTTTGGGTTCCAATCGAGAACCGAAAGCAATTTTTTGCTATCATGAAGTTCTCCATTATTCCTATGTTGAAATGTTTTTGTTATAGCGATTATTTATATATGTTCCGCTCATCGTTTTACAGTGTTCATTCGTTTTACCGATTGTCCTTATTCAACTGTGCACGCAAACCTTCGTGTGACCCAGTAAGTGAAATCAGCCAATGAAGTTCTTTCATCACTGTTGATACTTCCACTGTCTGAACCTTTGTTGCTTTCAATAAATGGCAATCTTCTATTTACCATACCAAGTACACGGTCAGAAGCATGGTGATGGTTTTTGTGAATCTTGAGACAATTCATATAGTGTAGATGGTAAAGGTCACTTATCAGTCTCAAAGATTTGAAAACTCGTTCGATATTAAAGACGCTGGACTTTTTTTTTCTTGCTCTTTCAATCCACTTGATTTCAGATGTTTCAAAATGCTATTGACAAAAAACGTACAAGAATGCAATGGCAGGTCTTTTGTGGCAACGCGGATGCCATTATCATCTTTACCAAGATATTCCTTTACAGGATGTGTATTGATTGATGAGTTGTAATGTGTTCCTACCAAAAAGTGTACACTGTGTTTAAAGTTATTGTGCAATTTTCAGTTTTCTTACCTTTTTCGCTTTTTTTTGATGAGTATAGTTCTCAGTGTGATTATAGTTCTACGTACTGTTCTACATAGCTATAAAAATGGTTTGGGTTATTTTACACATATTTTACGATTAATGCGACATATCCTTATGTAAGGTGTTAAAAGATATTATGCATGTTTCGTCCTATAACGCAAAACGCATAAATTTACCGAAAGAATGAAGAATACACAGCATAAAAGCAATGTATAATTTTAGCTACATCAGCGCGCTTCATTAAAACATTTGATAAGATATTTCAGGCTGTTCCTTCACTCAAAAATTAAGTTTTACAAACTAACCGTAGCAGACTCAATGGTTGAAGTAACACCCGTCTCTTTTAATCACAGATAATAATCTACGATCAACTGAATGAGTCAACACTTTAATTGCATTTTTGCTAATATGACTGGCAGCTATTTGGATGGCATTCCAAAGCTCGTCGAGCGAATTGTATTGTGTTCCAAAAACATGCACATCTTTATTAAACATCGACCACAGATTTTCAATGAAGTTGAGGTCGGGAGAACAGTGTGTCCATTTCATTAGATTGTCGTCTTTAATGCCAATCTTCTTTAACCAATACTGGTGCACCTTGCAGCATGAGCAGGAGCATTGTCGTGCATGAATATTAGAGTTTTCCGCAGTCTTAGAGGCTGCTTCCTCCACCAAGGACGAAAATTCTTGTCTGGGAAGGCACTGCACGACGTTGCTGTGATTTTTATCATGTCTTCAATGCGAAATGACCCTATGAGTGTCTCTAATGATTACTTCCCAAAACATAACCCCTCCCCCCCTTGCTGACGAGACTTTAGGATGGAGGCTTGTGATCTGATGACACTCAAATTTGGTCCCAGTCAGAGTCGCACGGCACTCATTTGTAAATATGACTTTTGAAAAGTCCACTTTCATGTATTTTCTGGCTCATTCAATTCTTTTTGTTTTGTGTCTCTGATTTAAGGGGTGGATATTTCACAGCATTCTTCATGCAGGCACATTCACATAACACTTTGCAACGAGTAGTACGGCAGACATTAGGCATATCACACGCCTCAAATATCTGCATATTTGTTGCTAAAGGTGTCTTCATTACTTGGCGATGGATTTTCCGCAGTTGGCGTTCAGTCAGCTTTGTAAATTTTGGCTGTCAGTGTTTCTTACGTCCATGGTGACTCGTTGCCACCATCTTTTTGACTGTACGGTGATCGCGCTGCAGAGATTTGGCTAGCTGCAATGTCGATTTTTCCACTTGCCCATTCTTTAGTCACAAACTCTTTCTATTTTACCGTCAGATCTGGTTTTTGACCCCTTCTGTTACTAGAGTAACTTTTGCTTAATAACTTTAAACGCCTTCATTCCTTTTGTTATTAAAATCTAACTTAACATTTTTTCAAGAGTGCTCTTCATCACTAATCATGCATTTCAAATGACTTTGTTTCCCTATTACGTTATTTACACTTTTCAGTGCTTGCTCGGCACACCAGAAGTGTTAACAACGAGAAACCTGTTTTGCATCTTAACTATAAACATAGTGTATGGACAGCGGATGTACAATCCAACTTTTGATTTCTCATTGTTTACTTGCTTACATGTTAAAGCACCAATAAGTTCATACCTACCGACCTTTGGCAACGCACCATTGCCTGATATGCACTCTTCTGTCAAACGGTAAGAGGACTTGATCAATTTGTTTTGCTGTAAAATTAACTTAGCTTTAGAAGAGTCGTATAGTTTCAAATGATCTCGTTGATCGTTTGTTTTTAATGGGAGGTTAGTGATGATCTCTTCTGCCATTCACAGAAGATTTTTCCACGTATTATTTTTCCTTTGATGGCTTCTTACATAAACGCATCTCCAATACGGATAGCTTAGAAGTTGCAAGCTTTAGTATTTATCGTCATTTTTGTGTCCTACGTGTTGCCCGTGATGATTTGGCTTTGAGGAAAATGTCCTTGGCATCACATACGACAAAATCAAGATCAGCTCCTTTATATGCAGTGCTTTGAATGTAGTCTCTCTATGACAAGTGACTTTAAAAGTTTAATGTCCGAAGAAAGTCACCGAGTATTCGAATTCTTTACATTAAGGATAGCTCACTTTTGGATTTATCGTTGCAAATGCCATAATACCTAGAGACTCAATATCCGCCTTTTTCAACCTATCCAGACATGCCATTGTTAATCGACCAAGTATTTCTGGTGCCATATAAAAAAGAGAACCATGTAAATTTCGTCCGTTCTCTATTTTACGATGGACCATGTCCATGTTTGAACATACAACAGTCTATTTAATCCAAAGTCAAATAGTTGGTATGAAATTGGCTTTAGATATTTACGGACTGTGTTCTCTCTGTGCTGGTACTCAAGACCGTTCACAATGTCTTAAATCATAAAATGTGTTAAGTCTCTAAAAACGATGGAGGCGCTATTTATCAAGCTTAATGATCGGGTCCTTTGTCGATAGAAGCAGCTCATTTTTAAATTGGCTTTATTTTGACTATGACTAATTGTCCTAAGCTGGAGTTGTCATCATTAAAACAACTGCCATAAATACAAGTTGTTCCCCGATAGAAGACAATAACAGGTGGTAAAATTGTTCTATTGAAGTTAATTGATTTTTTCATATAATTGCAACTAAAGGAAAGCAGTTTAAACCAGGAATTGTAAAAAAATAGAACAATTATTCGTTGAAAGTGTATTGAAAATGTATTGTTTAAAAAATGCATGTGGGCTCAAATATTTTTTCATCCAAGTTTGTTTCTGTCTTCCAGATAGCCTGATATGGCCATCTAAATAATATTGCAACGCAATAAAAAATCTTTGAGTCAAAGCCATTTGCATTCATTGCGAATTCTCGCATTATTGTAATCAGTAAAATTGTTGTGTTATCAGAAAAATTACACTTTGCCGATGAAATATTTTTTAAATGTACACCTAACATAAATAAATACACCTAACACTGACTAATTAACTCAATATTCATTTTTTGATCGTGACTAATATAAGTAATGAATATTTTCTGCTTTTAATTTCAGTAAAACCAAATGTTACAATTAACTGTTCGAATCCTCTGGTTGTGGATGAAGGTGATAATGTGTCATGTGTATGTAGTGGTGAAGGAGGTAACCCTCCTGCTAATGTCACATGGTTTGATAAAGATAACAACATAATTGGTAATGTTGGAGTTGTAAGTAAGACATTAGTAATCACTAATGTTGCAGTGAATGATGGTGGAAGTTACACATGTAAAGCACAAAGTTATAATGGTACAGATTATAGAGATGAAAAATCTATTGAAATAGTTGTGCAATGTAAGTCTTCAACTTCTATATTTATACTTTTGTTGCTATATATGTTTTAGTTTTTCAAATACGTTACTGTGGAAGCTGGTGTAGCTATACAATATTTAACTTGCCCGTTATGATTTTTTGTGCAGTGGTTACCATTTGTTTATGGTAATGTTAAGTTATTTGTCATGGTAACAATAATCGTTGCTTCTTACAATAAAATTTCTTTCTATGTGTGTGTATGTGTGTACACAAAGTCATAATAGTACAAATTACAGAGACGAAAAATCCATTAAAATAACAGTGGTGCTTATTTGTAAGGTTGCAAGATATTTTTTCAGATTTCATTATCGACTTTTGCAAATATCGTGACAGTGGAATATTAAATTTTACTTTAAGACCGACCGCGACAAACCAATATCACCATCAGTCCAATGTCAGCCAGAGAAGGTCAAAATGTGACAATAACCTGTGAATCAGATGGTTATCCTGAACCTACCTACACTATTTACCGCTATGGTAACACGTCTGTTGTCAGCGATAAAAAAACACACATCATTCAATCCGTCAACTTCAGTGATGCTGGTTTGTATCGTTGTGAAGCAAAGAATAAACTGGGAAATGATTCATCTCAAGTGAAAAATCTCACTGTCAACGAAGGTAAAATTAAGAACCTCAGTTTATCACTTGTTGGACTTTTATTTTGCATTATGTACGAACTTTCTTGGTAGCAAAAGGTGAAAGACCGATGTTTATCTTATTGTAATTAGCATTAGACTTCTTGAATGCACTTGAATACCCTTATAACAATAAAATTTCAGTAAACAACGAAGATTGCTCTGATTACATAACTTTTTACTGGCTCGTGTGGTAAAGCAAAGACTGGCAATGTCTGCATGCTGCATTAACCATAACATTTTTTTCTATGTATATATATTCTTCAATGACTATCAGTAAAAATATGTTTAACTTATATGTATTCCCCAGTATAATCATTAAAGTGCTTATAAACGTAAATTGCCTAGAGTTCATTAATTTAAATAGATTACTTGGCGTGAATTGCTTAAATGACTGGAATTTCAAACTAGCAAATTTTCACGCATTTGGTGGCACGCATTTCAATATTGGAGGAATTTCAATATTGGAATCATTCTCATGTGAACAATTTTTGTCATTGTGCTAGCTCCCATGTCAAGCTCACACAGTCTATCGCCGTCGATAATTACGTCATCGATGACGTTTACTGTGACCTTTACGTCATCAATTAATTCCACTCCCACTAACAACGGTAACATTTTTTGTAACATTTTTTTCTTTAATTCTTTAATGTGGAACAATCATTCTTGGCGAGTGTGTCTAACCATTTGCTTTTTAAAGTTTTTTATTAATTTATCTATTAGTATGACCTAACACTAACTTTAGTGTGTATTGTGAATTTTATTTTTTTTTTGCATATCGCATTGTTTCATTCTGGCTATTTCAAACTATTTGCTAGACCTATTTAAAAAGCTATTGATTAATGTTTGAATTTGGGGTCGTCAAGAAGACTGTTTGATAAAATTTATCAAAGTTCACAACTCTTTATTTAAGTTGGCCAAAATACTCCTACAAGCAGAGATGATGGCAACAATAACTCTATTGGCCCTACGACTCTAGACAAAGATGATGATGATGGACCAAATATTGCTCTGATTGTTGGCATTTCTGTTGGATCGGTTTTCCTTGTCGCCATTCTAGTTGTTGTCATTTTCTGCTGTTATAAATCAATGCAAAGTAAGTTGATAAAAAAATTCATAGTTGATAACTTTCGATGATGTTTTGTCCTTTTTTTGTAATTATCATTTACGTCAAATTATTAAACATCTGTTTACGTGTTATTTTTATTTTAGAAAGTGGATACCGGTAAGTTGATTATTTTATTGTAATTGTCTTTGCATGAGTTTCGGAGTTAAATGTTTCATTAGCCGTTTTTATTAGTTTTTTAAGAAATTGAACAAAAATGACGTAATGTGCCCTCGTATGGATAAGTCCATGGATAATTGCTTTGTTGTTTTTGTTATGAAGAACTTAGAGGAACTTTGGTTTTTTTGTACAGTATAAACTATGGCCTAGTTTAGACGTGGAGCTTTACACGAACTTAACATGAACCGAACGCATTTAAAAGAAAAGATAATGAAGAAGTTCATCTCATTTTCTTTTGTCTTTAATGCGTTTGGCGCTTGTAAAGTTCGACGTTTGAAACAGGCCTAAGTTGTAATTATTTGAGTTTTCTTCAATATCACGATATTTCAGTGGTGAAAAAGGTGTTGAACCAATAGACGAAGATAATCACCAATATCATTATGAACTCGATGGTGCACCCGGTGTTAGCAACGAGAGTCGTTATGAATCGGTGAAGGATGATAAAACAGACAAGAATCGTCCTAATGATGAATCCAAGCCGTCAGAAAATAAACCACCTGTATATGCATCTATCAATAAAGAAAACAGACAAGGGAATCCGGTTTGTTGTTGTGCATGTTTGTCATTTATTCTTCATGAATATTGATTAAGATCTGTGCATGTATTTTATTCACTGAAGACTATGTTGAATGCATTATGCAGATTATCGAGGATTAAATTATTTATGTAATTTTTAATGATGAATGATGATACAGACAGTTACAAAGTTTGGAGTTTCAAATCCTCCAACTATGCTGACAGCTTAGTTATTTTATGCTTGGTTAGTTGTTTTGTCCGTTCAAGTCGATATAATCGAACACAGTTTACTATGTTGAAACTGAATCGTGAGGGAATACTTTGCCCTGGATCGAGTTACCTGAACTTTCAGTGATGGTTTAAAGTAATCTTCATTCGTCGGTTTTTTGGACCCTTTAAAGCCTCTATATTTACAAAATACATTGTTCAATTTTATCATTTTTTATGTGTTTTTTCTTTAGTTATACTCCTACCTTGACTTTAAAGATGAACCTAAAAGAAAGCCAGACAAAACTCGTCCTGCACCAACGGAATACGCCAGTATTGATATGAGTAAACTGGCACCTGTCGAGAAAAAAGACGACAAGAAAAGCGGTGACAAAAAAGACGACGAAAAGAAGGAATAGTAAGTTTTATCTTTTGGAAAAGATCCACAAAGCTCGACGTCATTCTTTGATGGTTGAAGAAAAAAGTAAAAATTGATTCATTTGTTGAATATTTTTTTAAAAAATGCCGAAATCATGTTTTTCTTTCTCTTCATATGGTAGTTTAATCTTATTATAAATTTCCTTTAGAACTGGCGATCGTCGTTAATAAAACAAGAGTACGCAAAGACTGTTACTACATTTATAAAGATTAACTTTGCTCTTCATTATATAATCTAGATTTGATCTCTGAACACTACTAAACTGAATACTTTATGATTGTGTCTGTGTACATAATCGTTTGCCATGAACAAACTTGAATCTTGGCATCTGTGCTACAGTTTGGGAATGTATTTTACTTGCCTTTATAAGGCAACAACATTACACACTGACTTTAACACAGCATTTTGAATAGAATAGTTTTAGTCGTAGTTTAACTTTTGTTATTTTAATTATCATGGTTAAACCATTTAAACTTTTATTTACATAGAAATTAAGTGTAGAAATTAGATAGAAAAATCAAGCAATTTCAAGGAGTGTGATGGAAAACTCTTTAAATTGCTTCTTTACAATTGAATGATTTCATATGCATTAGTGTAAGGGATGTTTACAAATAAAACAATTTCGTGATCATTATTTGTTTTGCATCTTTATTTTCGTGTCTACTGTAGATGTGAGATTTGTCCTAGCCCCAAAGACAAGCTAACATTGAGTGGCTTTGTTTCACCAAGCTTGGGCGGTAATAGCAATTTTTTAATTTAAAAATTTCTAGGAAGACAGCAAACTGCAATTTAAAACAATTTAGTGAACAAAATGTAACTAAATTTTAATGTGTGAGTCATTGCACAATGGATAGTGCTATCCTTGCTTCTTGTAAACAATGCTTCAATTCCATAAACATCAATGGTAGTTTTCAGCAAACAAACATCTCAATTATGCTCATCAGTGGACAATATTCACAGCCGTTCCATCACTTGCAGAAATATTTGGTATTTGTGACCATTAACAAAAACTTCAATTCTGTGCATCTATTTTTTTCCACAAATGATTTAATTTTGATGTAGCAATATGCAATTGATAATTTTAGGTTCAGTAATATCTCAACCTGGATGGTCAAAGATTTGTATTTTTACCTGGATCTTTTCACAGTTAACTTGGAGATTTGATGTGACCTCATCCATAATTGTACGTGTTTGGTCCTTTATCCCTCGTGGTGCTACTGCTGCGCAACGACTTGTAACGATAACTGGTAATGGTGAACCGCGATGTGATTCATCACCTTTAGCATTTCAAGTTTTTGAACCTGAAACTCTGATGTTAAAGAATGTCGATCAAACAGTGGTGTTTACACATTTACTATCGTAGCTAATACTGCTGACACACAAAGAAAGTAAATGTGTATATTGCCTGTAAGTTTTTATTTTGGTGTTTTTTGTCTGATGAGTAGTCTGCCTTAATGCAAAGTGTCTTTCAGCTTTAAAAACAGTTCTTTTAGAATTGTTGGGTTAGTGTTCTGGTTTTAAACAGTTCTTTTAAGAACTATTACGTTATTATTTTAACCATTCACCATGGTATTTGCTATTTTTAACAATTTTAACTTCTGATATACTCGATTAAAAAGAGCAAAGTCGTCTGACGTCATCCATGTACAGTCCTTTGCTAAACAGAAGTTTGCAGTCCAACCATCTGAATTAAAGTCGCTTGGGTTGAAGTAGTAAAAGTTAAAGGACAACTTGGTTATTTGTCATTTGATTCACTGTTTTACGAAATCAAAAATTTCTCAGTGATACATGCCGCCTGGGACTCGTCAAGAACATTCTCAATCTAGCCACGTTTGGTATTTTCAACTAAAAACTGCAGGATAAGATCATTGGTAAGATAGATAGGCTAAACAGGGGGGCGGATGAAGCTTTCCCAGGGCCCCTGGTGATTCCAAAGTCCCCCCCCTCCTATCTGGAATTCTTTGTAGACAAAGTATACGAAATTTTTAATTGTGAATTAAAATTGTGAAATATACTAAGAATATTTCAGAAAAAGCGATTTATACAGATGTTATTTTTCACAATGATTTTCTTACAAAATCCACTTGTGGATGCTCATCGTCTTCAAGAGCATTGTAATCAATTAGGAAATGGATATTGGCACAGCGTGTCGAAGTATGCTTTCACAATTTATACATTCATCTAAAAGCACCATTAAGTCATATCTAAGGATAAAATTACAGAATAAAGGTTGTATGGCTGGTATTCTGTTTTTAAAACAACTCTGGGCAATTTGCGTGGCTTGTCATGAGATAGGTTTTGATAAAATATGATCCCTCTGTTACATATGACAGCGTTGTCAAGGCGTTTACATTCTTTTCATTACTTATATAAATATTTGCACAACATGAGACCCGGAAATAATTTTAAAAAGAGGAAAATTAGCTGGTTTATTTAAGAAATACGTGAAGATTTTTCACCAGCTTAGTTACTTCAATATTGTTTAAGGTAAAGTGAATCATTTAAAATGTTATCAAATATTGACTGCTCAGTTCATTTGTAAATAATTTTATTGACATTTCACGGAATTTCCTGTGGATTAAGAGTTGTCTGAGTTGTATCATAGTGGAAAGTACGTTAGTACTTTCGCAAAGTAGAAAACGTTGTATAAACACAACGTATTCCAACGAAACTTTTGTAAGTTTTTACCGATGCTCTTGTTTCCTTGAATATTATGGGAAATCTAAAATATACATAAAATATGAAGGAATACATCATATATTACTGCATAGTAGTTCTGTGATTTGACTTAAGTCATATCTTCATCTTAACCTTTATAGACAGAATACAAGATGGAAAAGTTTGGCTTCCTTTCATTTGTTTTGTTCTGTTGGATTTCATCTTGTCAAGGTATTTATTATTTTTATTAGACCATTAAGGAAGTAAATGTTTGTATTTGTGAAATAAAAACTGTGGAATTTGCTTAGAAATTTAAGCTAAATTGACTAAAATACTTGCTGGTATTAAGTCCTCATGTGTACACAATAACACTCATCGTAGCCAGTTCTGCACTTAAAAATAATCCAAAAGCAATACCTTGCAGTATTTTCATCTTTTAAATACATGCACATAATGGCTATTTAGCAAAGAAGTAAGAATATCTCATTTACAAGATAATTGACATTTTTTGCAGTAAATAGTGATAGCACCTATGCTTATGCAATAATACCAAATGTGTTTCACCATTACAAAATATGTTGCTCTATGTGGCTGTAGTGCAATTATGAATCTAAATTATAAACTATTAAATATTTATATTCCAGCTATTATTTATGAATTGATGCTCATACCAATGTGTGAACAATGTTTAAATGCCCATGACTTTACTCATACATCAATGCACTAAATATTCTGTTGATTAGAAATTGACCTCAATCATTTAGTTTGACATCATTTTTCGATTAAGTTTTCAAAGTTCATCAATTCTAGCAATTTTAGCTTCTTCTGTAGTATTGCTTTTTTTGCTTAGAAAGATCACATTTGGCCTTGATGTATTAAAACTATTTTGCAATCATTTAGTTCAATTTTAAAAGGAAAAAAACTTGTTTGTCGATTTAAAAAACCTGCTTATCAATTTCACAAGTTTTTTTTGTGAATTCTGAGACTTTAGGGTTTTTATAATTTTTCTCAAGTACATCATTATAGCTGGAAGCTGATTGCTGCCTTTTGATATCTGGTTAAAGTAATGTTCATCTTTTATAAGTTTTGATCAATAAGGTTCTTACAGATACATGTAGAGATACTTGTTACAGTGTCCTCTGCTACTGACTCCTTAGGATTGAGCTTGACAGTTAAACCTTTCTTTCCTTTTTCCTCTATGTCTTTATCCATGGCCGCCATACCTTCCTGATATCTCCTGGTCTATGCTTTTCACTCTTGACTTTCATGAACGGATTTCATGAAAAAGATTCAGGATGTCACTTTTTCCTTGTATTGGACAAGTACACAAATGTCACACACAGACGTCACATTCTTCTTGTTCATTTAAATCTTCTTCCAGCATTAATAAGGCTTGATATTCTCTTTATATCCTGAACTCTGGTTTCAAATTCTGGCTCCTGCTATTTTATAACGCAAATCACTAGTTGTAGCTGGTTTATTTTGCAAGTCATTGTTCAACAGTTTAAGGTGTATTATTAGTAAAATTTTTATACGTAAAGTTAAATTTGAAAGCTTCAGAGAGTTTCCCTAATTATTTATGTTGTTAATCATTGCTTTAATAGTTAGTGACAGGCTTGTAATCATTGTAGCATGTTGCTTTTCAATTTGCAAACTTCAAAGAAAGTCCAAATTGCCACTGTGTTGAAATGTTTTGCCCTAATATGAGATTTAAATTTCCTGATCACATTTCTAATCCCCCTGGTGCATTACTGTGTATATTTTGCTTGTAGAGGTTATTTGAACTTTCCAGGAGCAGAAAAGCTTTTGTGATAGTAACAAAATATAAGTAAAACATGCACATAGCTGACACACATTAAATAATTATTTGGTGAGGTTGTGCATGATATTGAGAATTATCTAGGCAAAGTTTGTCTCAGGGAGAGGTTGTTATTATCAATCTTAGACAGGCATAAATGCAACCCGAGGCTTCAATCATTGTAGATATCATGCAAAACTGAATGCGATAATTATTTTATTAATCACGTCAACTACCTGTAAAAAATTCTTGAAATTTCAGCTAATGTGTCCTCGTGAGGCAGTTAGTTTATTCAATTTCATAAAGTTCCATTTACTTTTTTTATTAGCACTAATCGTATCCCATAATATGCAACAATTATTGAAGTAAAGACGAACTTTTGCATTGTGTACGGATATAAGTGTATTGACATAAGCCTTCGAGATAAATCCCTAATGTGACTTTTTTGCAAATATTATCAGTGTTACATTTCCTAGACAAATGTTGATCAAGTGAAACCCCAAGTTTTCTAAAGGTTTTCTAATTAGAATTTAAAGCAGCCTTTAGATAAGTTATGGAGTCACCTGCAAACAATGGAGGTTTTGTTTTTGTTAAACAGTATGGCCAATTGTTGATGTTCAGCACAAAACGTAGTGGCCCTAAATTACGTAGAATCTTGTGGCACTTTACACTTAATCGATTTTTATGATAACTAAAGTCTATTTATTTGACATTTCTGTTATCGAATATGAAATATTTGCTATGTCATCCTATTTGTGATCCTTCTGCGTTCAAAGATTAAACATAAGTTTAAAATTAATCTCAATCGGAACAAATCGTTGGCAATTAAGTCCTATCAAAATGTTATGAGCACAAGAGTAAAAACAAAACTACCCAGGCTTAATACATTTGTATAATTTTCAATGCTGTCTGATTTTTCAGTAAACGTTTGAAAGACAATTGTTAAAAATAGAAATTATCTCAAAAATGGTTTGCATTTAAAATTGTAATGAATTTATCGTTAAAATTGGAGAGATTTCTTGAGGATGTTGCTTATTTTTGTTATTACGAAATGATATAACTTTGGGATTTCACTAAAGATGTTTTCGTAAAGTTTCTTATAAATTCTCGTATATTTTTATGTACGTTGAATAAACATTTAAATTATTTCGAAACCATATGTACGCACTTTGTACCTATTTTTATTTATTTATCTTTCTTATCTTATCATAGGAGTAATTCTATCACCTCCTCCTGGCACAAGTTTCACATTTTTACCTGGAGGAACAGAAAATATAACATGGACATTTGATGATGATTTAAACGATTTGGCCAGTAGAAATTGGCTTTTTACTGGTAGTAGTGATGGTTCACAATCAACACTGTTGGCCATTGTCACTCTGGATTTGTCATTGATAAATCTTAATGAACCAATTCTTCCAAATTATGACGTCTCCAAACCTTCAACGCTGCAATTAAGAAATATCACTCATAGTTATGATGGAACATATGAGTTTCGATTAGCAAGAAAGGACAGTCTGTTATCTCCTTTTATATCCAAAGTCAGAGTTTTCGTTGCAAGTAAGTCGTCCTTTTTTATTATTTTATATTCTTATCAGTTTTAGAAATTTATATTTTTCATTTAAAAATTAATGAAAGCAATACATCTATTTAGTTAGAAACGTAGAAAAATAATGAAATACATCGATTTAGTTATAAAAATGAAATACATCTATTTAGTTAGAAACGTAGAAAAATAATGAAATACATCTATTTAGTTATAAAAATGAAATACATCTATTTAGTTAGAAACGTAGAAAAATAATGAAATACATCTATTTAGTTATAAAATGAAATACATCTATTTAGTTAGAAACGTAGAAAAATAATGAAATACATCGATTTAGTTATAAAATGAAATACATCTATTTAGTTAGAAACGTAGAAAAATAATGAAATACATCTATTTAGCTATAAAATGAAATACATCTATTTAGTTAGAAACGTAGAAAAATAATGAAATACATCTATTTAGTTATAAAATGAAATACATCTATTTAGTTAGAAACGTAGAAAAATAATGAAATACATCTATTTAGTTATAAAAATGAAATACATCTATTTAGTTAGAAACGTAGAAAAATAATGAAATACATCTATTTAGTTATAAAAATGAAATACATCTATTTAGTTAGAAACGTAGAAAAATAATGAAATACATCTATTTAGTTATAAAATGAAATACATCTATTTAGTTAGAAACGTAGAAAAATAATGAAATACATCTATTTAGTTATAAAAATGAAATACATCTATTTAGTTAGAAACGTAGAAAAATAATGAAATACATCTATTTAGTTATAAAAATGAAATACATCTATTTAGTTAGAAACGTAGAAAAATAATTAGACCAGTGGTTGCAACGTTAGGGGACTAAGAAATTCAAACCATGTGCATGCGTCGTATGGTTCATGTTATTGTTTGATTAAGAAATCATGGGTTAAAGTTTATATTAGCTACCGGAGACGGTTCTAGAATTTTTCAAACGTCAGCCATAAAACAGCGGGCGTCAGACATTCTCCCTTGAGAAATTTTGAAACATAAGGTGCTAGAAATGCGATTTCAAGCATTTTGGAATACCTTCACTGTCAATTTTTGCATGGTTACAAAGTGAGCGAAATCGCCGTTGTTAAAAATCAATGATAGTAATCAATGCTCTTCCTCATGTTGACTACATCATTCTTGAAAGTGGTTATCAAATGAAAACCATCCATAACATCAATAGTTTTTCCATGCAACAATTGCGCACTGGAAGAGTAGCATCCGGAATCTTTCGGGTAAAAACTAGCGCAACAATAAAATGAAATTGACTGACTAATGAAAGTAAGTGAGAAGCATCAGCAGCAAGGGAAGGCTTTACATCGTCGTTTACATTGTTTATCATGTCCTGAAGAGTGTTGATTAAAGGGATGGACGTTCCAACGTTTTAAGAATGTAATTTCGCTCAACCCATCTGGTTTTACAAAGACTTACCAGTTTTGCCTTCTTGGTCTGAACATCTGACTTTTTAACGTGCTCAACTAGGGGCATGTTGTGTGTCTGTGATATGTTGATAAAATTGGCAGCTTGAGAAACAACAGATAACATGTTATTAATTTCAACGTTAGAAAGAGTGTTACAGACAGATGAATTTAGTCGATGACTATAGTGAGTGTATAAATTGCATTCATTAAAAATCAACAAATCGTAGAACGAGGGGCAACTGTTCTTTGTGAGAAGAATCGCAGCTTCATGATAAAATTATATCTATTTTTTATCTCGTCGATATTACCTGATCAATACAATTGATGATATTTTTTGGCTTGTCTTGGCAATATTCTTTTATACATGCCACATTCGAACAAATGGTTTTCCAAAGTTTAATCACCAGCTCTAACTCTAAAATTTTAAGATTCAACAACATTACAAATATTGTTTTTAACTGAATAGCAACCAACCTCTGAGTGAAATTGAGTATCATCACGATGACGTCGTAATCCAACGGCAATTAAGAAACACCAAAGCAAAACCTTTGTCAACAAGACGAAGTCATATTTAGTCGACATGGAATTCTGGAAACGATAGTATCCGATAATCAGCCTCATTACTCGTCAAAAGTAGGCAAACAGTTTGCGTTAGACTACCATTTCATACATAACACCATAAGTCCGAGTTATCCACACTCAGGTGGATTACGTGAGATAAACAGTTCAGACAGTAAAGAACATTCTCAAGAAATGCAAAGCGAATGGACAAGACCGACAAGAATATATCGCGCTGTTAGACTATCGTAACACCCCCATTGACAGTATGAGCCCTGCGCAAGCCGCTTTGATCAACCATTCCTACTTTACAATGTAAGCTGTATCCCAAACCTATTGACCAAGCTACACTTCACACTGTTCGTCAATAACTGCACTGACAAGGCTTCGCAACAACTGAAAGAAGGTGAATGAGTGAGATTTCACCAAGACTCGGTATGACCATGGACTCGCGAAACGATGATACAAAAGCATCAAACACCCAGAAGCTACATGGTAAAAAGCGACTACGGAACAGAACACAGAAGAAATCGTGGGTACATACGAAAGACACGGGAAGAACCACCGATCTCGACAACCTGGATGATGATAATACTCAAGATCTGAATTCAGATTCAGCTGCAAATGCTGCTACAAAGAATGCCCAATGGGGTTGGGGTTGTGTGGCAGAATGCTTTTCTTCCAAACTATAAAGATGACATTGCTTGCAAAAAACAAATTCTTGGTTATGGAATGTTTTCACTGCTCGCCATGTTGGTAGAAAATCTCCTATAGGTAAAAGAATCTGTATTGATTTCATATTGTGTTGAGCGTAGGCCCTTTAAGTTGCCTATCAACATGGCCGCTTTGACGTCATCACACGAAAGAGCTTCATTCTCTTTTTTCATCGTTAGTAGATAAAAGTAATTTGCTTAATAATTTCTTAGAAAATTTTTTCGAAAGAAATATCCTTTTCAAGAAGCTATGATCACTTTTCTTGAACTCATCCGATGGCAATCTCTGCTTGCATTTTATCAAACACCTAACGAAAGTAACCTTTTTCCCATCGTGACTCTTTCTTTTTACGTGTTAAAGATAACTTGTGCCTTACCAAGCGTTACCAATTGAACTTTACCTTTTAAGTGTGAAACAATCTTTATAACATCTGGTGAAGAATTGTTTTTGTAGTATGTTCTCTTTATTGTGTGCAATTTTTTAAAGCTTTCATCAGCCAAAACCACCTTGGTGTCCCTTAAAGATACACAAATAATGTTGAACACCATTCTTTTTCATTGAGCCCAAGTCTTGGCCAGTCTAGTCATTTTAGACTCTAAGTCGACAATATCCAATAGGAAGCTCACGTTATGAGAAACAATTTGGTATCTTACATGTACTTCAATAATATCATCAGTATTTCTTTTGGTGTCTTGTCTTTTGGGTTCCAATCGAGAACCGAAAGCAATTTTTTGGTATCATGAAGTTCTCCACTATTCCTATGTTGAAATGTTTTTGTTATAGCGATTATTTATATATGTTCCGCTCATCGTTTTACAGTGTTCATTCGTTTTACCGATTGTCCTTATTCAACTGTGCACTCAAACCTTCGTGTGACCCAGTAAGTGAAATCAGCCAATGAAGTTCTTTCATCACTGTTGATACTTCCACTGTCTGAACCTTTGTTGATTTCAATAAATGGCAATTTTCTATTCACCATACCAAGTACACGGTCAGAAGCATAGTGATGGTTTTTGTGAACCTTGAGACAACTCTTATAGTGTAGATGGTAAAGGTCACTTACCAGTCTCAAAGATTTTAAATGCGTTCGATATTAAAGACGCTGGACTTTTTATTTCTTGCTCTTTCAATCCACTTGATTTTAGACGTTTTAAAATGTATTGACTAAAAACGTAGAAGAATGCAATGGCAGGTCTTTCGTGGCCACGTGGATACCATTATCATCTCCACCAAGATTTTTCTCTACAGGATGTGTATCGATCAATGAGTTGTGATGTATTCCTACTCAAAGTGTATATGGACAGTGGATATATAATCAAACTTCTGATTTCTCATTGTTTACTTGCTTACATATTAAAGCATCAAAAAGTTCATACCTACCGACCTTTGGCAACGCACCATTGTCTGATATGCACTCTTCTGTGGAACGGTATGAGGATTTGACCAATTTGTTTTGCTGTAAAATTAACTTAGCTTCAGAAGAGTCGTACAGTTTCAAATGATCTCGTTGATCGTTTGTTTTAATGGGAGGTTAGTGATGTTCTCTTCTGCCATTCACAGAAGATTTTTTCACATAATATTTTTCATTTGATTTTCATATTTTTCAAAGCCCGTGATTATTTGGCTTTGAAGCAAATGTCCTTGGCATCACTTACGACAAAATCAAGATCAGCTCCTTCATATGCAGTGCTTTGAATGTAGTTTCTTGATGACAAGTGACTTTAAAAGGTTTAATGTCCGAAGAAAGCCACCGAGTATTCGAATTCTTTACAGCAAGGATAGCTTACTTTTGGATTTATCATTGCAAATGGCATAATACATAGAGACTTAATGCATCCGCCTTTTTTCAAGCTATCCTGGCATGCCATTGTTAATCGACCAAGGATTTCTGGTGCCATATAAAAAAGAGAACCATGTAAATTTCGTCCGTTCTCCATTTTACGATGGACCATGTCTATGTTTAAACATCCAACAATCTACTTAATCCAAAGTCATATAGTTGGTATGAAATTGGCTTTAGATATCTATCGACTGTGTTCTCTCTGTGCTGGTACTCAAGACCGTTCACAATGTCTTAAATCGTAAAATGTCTTAAGTCTGCTTTTTCTCTAAACACGATAGAGGCGCTATTTATCAAGCCTAATGATCGGGCTCTTTGTCGATAGAAGCAGTTCATTTTTAAATTGGTTTTTATTTGATGAGGACTCGTTCTCCAACGATTGAGTAGTCATTAAAACAACTGCTACATATACAAGTCGATCCAACCTTAACATATAACAGACGTTGACACCTGACGAGTTGTCTGCCTAAATGCATAGTGTCTTAGATTTCTAAAAAAGTTATTTTCCGAACTCTTAATTTTTTCTTGATTTTTTCTTTGTTTTCTCTGGTTAGTTTTTTCTCGGTTTTATCTAGGGTTTCGTGGTTTTTATTTGGTTTCAGTCCATTCACCATGGCAATTGTTCTCTTTAAGGCGATATTCAAATTTGTCACCACGACAAAGTCTCTGTTTTAATTATTATTGGATTGTTTAGCGTAAACTCTCAGCATTGTTTTCCATAGTTTACATGATTATTAACTAAGCCTAAACAAACGCTTATAAAGAAACTCTGCATTTTCTATCCATCTCCCCAGCATGGTGGAAAATGCAGAGATAAAAAATTTCTCAATTGTAAACAAACATTCAGTACTCCGCACTCCAAATTTTTCACAATGCCATAAAAATAAGACAATTATGAGCTATTTGTTTGTTTTGTCATGAGAATGTGTTCTTATATATAACATGTTGGATGAATATGAGAAAGGAAATTTCGTGTTTACGATTCAAATTTCGACCAAAATAGAGAATATCTTTGTACTTCACTCCTTGGGGATCGTCTGCAATTCACCTATAGTCAATAAAACTTATCGAAGTTATGTAAAATGTTGCTTTCCTAAATTCCTAATGGGGATTGCTATATTTAAAATAACTTGATTTTATTTATCAATTACTTTTCACCATATATTCATTTTCTTTATTTTGAATATTGACTGAAAATTTTCTGTTTTTGTTTTCAGTTAAACCAAACGCGTTAATTAATTGTTCAACTCCTCTGGTTGTGAGTAAAGGTGATAATGTGTCATGTGTATGTAGAGGTGAAGGAGGTATCCCTCCTGCTAATGTCACATGGTTTGATAAAGATAACAACATAATTGGTGATGTTGGAGTTGTAAGTAAGACATTAGTAATCACTAATGTTACATTGAATGGTGGTGGAAATTACACATGTAAAGCACAAAGTTGTAATGATCCACGTTTTAAAGATGAAAAATCTATTGAAGTAACAGTGAAAGCTACTTGTAAGTTTGTAAGACAGCATTTCAGATCTCATTATAAATGTTTGTGTAGAATATTGAATTTAATTTTCTTCTTTACAGATCCACCACAACAAACCAATATCACAATCAGTCCAATGTCAGTAAAAAAAGGTGAAAATGTGACAATAACCTGTGAATCAGATGGTTATCCTGAACCAACCTACACTATTTATCATAATGGTGCAGTTATCAGTAATAAAAAGACATACATCATTATTCTCTCAACTTCAGTAATGCTGGTTCATATCGTTGTGAAGCAACAAATAAGCTGGGAAATGATTTTTCTGATGTTAACAATCTTATTATCATCAAAGGTAAAATTAAAATGCTACTTTCGTCAAAGGTAAAATTATCAACTGCTAAGTGTCACGAATTTTTCGCGTTTGTTTACGTTTCAAACGTCACGTTTGTCAGACGAAACGTCGAGTTTCATCTTGTAAGCGTTACGTTTGTTCAAATCGCAGATTTTTAAGTTTGAATCAGCTCTTTCTTATAGTATATGGTCAATTATCAAACTTTGCAAATCGCTTAAGGTATACAGATGTAATTTTCAGTTGCTACAACATTTTATCATTGTAAAATCGTATAAACATGTTAATCACATGACCAAAACCTGTTCAATTTTTTCCTCAAACGTTAAACTTTCCTAAGCATACATTACGTTTCTAATTTGAAACCCGACGTTTTGCCTGACAAACGTGACGTTTGAAACGTGAACAGAAAAATTCGGGGCAGTTACCATTTGAACGCAAATGATAATAAAATCTTACTTCATCAATTTTTGAGATAGATGAGTTTCACTCTTTCATTTGATTTGTTCTTTTTGGTCAATTATTATCATTTTTTTCGATAGATATTTCTGTCATTCAGTATTCTGTCAGCATTTTCATCTCTTTGACATTATAATTTGAGTTGATTTCCAATAAATGTGTTAACATATGAATCTCCAACAGCATTTTTCCTTTCAAAATATTCATCTACTGATTGCAACACGAAAGGTAATTTATTTACAATGCTTTAAAATTATATTTATGTTTAAAATACTATTAGCTCTTTCTGTTCAATTTGCATGCGCTACCTGAGATGCTAAAAATCCTTAAAAGAAAATTTAAGCATATCGCTCTTTTATAGCAAACTTTAGCTCTAGCCACACAATGCAATTAATATCTCGACCTTTGCCTTAGACTTAATGGAAATGTTCAATTCAATCTATCCAATGCTCAATCAAAATGCTCCAATCTTGTTATCATATGTATTTTAGTATTGTATACAAATAAACTCTTTTGATTTTTTTCCATATTTTTAAGTTCTATGCTTCTTCTCCAGACAACGTTCTTTGTGATGACCAAAAAGAGAGAATAAAACAGTGCAAAACAGAATGGTACATTATTTTAATAACTTTAACATCTGGAATTATCGTTGGAATTTTGGTTTCTATTTTAATTGTTTTTCAATATCGTCGGCATTGGTTTAGTAAAAATTGTCAACAATTTCAATCTCCATCTGAAGTTAGGAAAAATTCTGTTGATACAACTTATCAAGAATTGGATTTATCAAAAATTAATAATAAAGAAGATAATTATCAATCATTGAGACCAAAGGATGACACAGTTGATAAAACTTATCAAGAACTGGACATATCGAAAATGAATATAGAAGATAATAATTATGAATCTTTGCAAAAAAATAATGAATCGGAGTACGTGATAGCCGACGAAAAAAGAAATTATGAGAACAGTAATTTGTTTTGAAGAAAATCATAAATTTATTTTAAACATGTGTTTATAAACATTTTCCATGTTGTAAAGTCACAATGGTGCTTTTACGAACATTTACATTTTCTGATAAGATTTGAATTTTGCATCTTTTCCTCCCTTTGGAGCTACCAATACTTTATGATTTCCAGAAGGAAGCCATTTTTGGATAGGAAAATACACTGGTCATTCTGACTCATTCATTGGTTGTTTATGATAACAGTGTATGGTAATACTGTTTTTAAATAAATATTTTCTATTTATCTTACTATACACCTGCCTTCCTGACTTGTTTCCTGTGTATATCAAATTGTTTAGAACAGAATCACGAAAAGGCCCTGAAAAAGCACGAAATCTTATTTCTGATGAACCTAAATCGTAAATTTCAAAATTTGTCTTTGATTAGGGAATGCCTTGAGACCCATTTTGTTAAGAGAAGACCGTAGTTGGATAGTTAAGAACACCTTTAGTGATCTACTATGGAGCGCCAATCGTAACAAAAATTGTTTACAGTTTATATGGTTTCATTTTTAGTACAGGGTTAGTGGGTTGTTCGACAACACAAAGAGAGCTTCAAGAATACGGGGACCTTTAGAAAATTTACCGTCTTAATACTTGAAATATAAACAAATGTACTGGAGAATCCCAACTGTTTAATATCGCAATGCTCCAGACATACAAAAACCTCCATCATTCGGAAGCAACAATAAAACTGTTAACGTTTTGATATTTCATTCTCAATCTGAATGCTAAAACAACAAGAGCAATAACTTTCACTTTATAATACATTTACATTCAAAGGTCTTAAGATGTTTTTCTTTGATATCGTCGTCAGCAGTTATTAAGTAATGGAGCACCCGCCGGTGAAGAACATACGCTGTATTTAGGGTTAAATTGTTTGTGAATGATATTTTATTTTATGAAAAATGTTTTGTTTTATCTTCTGTGTACTAGTTACAATGGGAATAGTTTTACAGACATTAAATGCAGTCAATAGTTATGAACAAATAATCAAAAAGGTATTTATCACAAATTCACAACATCAAAAGTCAACAAGAAAGATTTTCAGTTGTCTTCAATTAAAGGTGAATTAAATGTATCATGACCATGTAGAAAAAAATAAATATTTGCTCACCATGAGACCTGAAAACCTTTTGAAGAAAGAAAGTTACCTGTTGTTGATGAAAATAGGAGCAATTTTCTCACGTTGAAGATAAAGTGATAAACTGAATCATGTAACTTCTACGTTAAGAAAGATGAATTAAGCAATTCATTCATTCAAACTTATACTTTCATTTATATTAACATGTCACTGAATTTCGTATGGATTAATCAATATTTTTTACTTGTGGTGTATAATGATGGGAAAGGCGCTAATATTTCCGTATATAAAGAACGAAAAGTTGAAAGCAGTTCCATCAATTGCAGAAATATTTGGTATTTGTGACCAATAACAAAAACTTCAATTCTGTGCGTCTATGTTTTTCCACAAATGATTTAATTTTGATATAGCAATATCCAATTGATAAATTTAGGTTCAATAATATCTCCACCTGGATGGTGAAAAATTTGTATTTTTACCTGGATCTTCTCACAATATAACTTGGAGATTTGAAGTTACCTCATCCATAATTGCACGTGTTTCGTCCTTTATCCCTCGTGGTGCTACTGCTGCTCAACGACTTGCAACGATAACTGGTAATGGTGAACCGCGATATGATTCATCACCTTTAACATTTCAAGTTTTTGAACCTGAAACTCTGATGTTAAAGAATGTCGATCAAACAGTGGTGTTTACACATTTACTATCGTAGCTAATACTGCTGACACACAAAGAAAGTAAATGTTTATATTGCCTGTAAGTTTTTATTTTGGTGTTTTTTCTCTGATGAGTAGTCTGCCGAAATGCATAGTGTCTTTTTCAGCTTTAAAAACAGTTCTTTTAGAATTGTTGAGTTAGTGTTCTGGTTTTAAACAGTTCTTTTAAGAACTATTACGTTATTATTTTGACCATTCACCATGGTATATGCTATTTTTAAGCAACTTTAATCTCTAATATACTCGATTAAAAACAGCAAAGTCGTCTGACGTCATCCATGTACAGTCCTTTGCTAAACAGAAGTTTGCAGTCCAACCATTTGAATTGAAGTTGCTTGGGTTGAAGTGATAAAAGTTAAAGGACAACTCGGTTATTTGTCATTTGATTCACTGTTTTACGAAATCAAAAATTTCTCAGTGGTACATGCCCACTGGGACTCGTCAAAAACGTTCTCAATCTAGCCACGTTTGGTATTTTCAGCTAAAAACTGCAGGATAAGATCATTGGTAAGAAAAATAGGGTAAGCAGGGGCGGATCAAGCTTTCCCAGGGCCCTGGCGATTCCAAAGTCCCCCATCTGGAATTCTTTGTAGATAAAGTATAAGAAATTTTTAATTGTGCATTAAAATTGTGAAAATTTCAAAGAATATTTCAGCAAAAGTGATTTATACAGATGTTATTTTTCACAATGATTTTCTTACAAAATCCACTTGTGGATGTTCATCGTCTTCAAGAGCATTGTAATCAACTAGGAAATAGATATTGGCACAGCGTGTCCAAGTATGCTTTCACAATTTATACATTTATCTAAAAGCACCATTAAGTCATATGTAAGGATAAAATTACAGAATAAAGATCGTGTGGCTGGTATTCTGTTTTTAAAACAACTCTGGGCAACTTGCATGGTTTGTCATGAGACAGGTTTTGATAAAATATGATCGCTCTGTTACATATGACAGCGTTGTCAAGGCGTTTACATTCTTTTCATTCACTTATATAAATATTTGCACAACATGAGACCCGGAAATAATGTGAAATAAGGAAAATTGGCTGGTTTCTTTAAGAAACACGTGAAGATTTTTCACCGGCTTAGTTACTTCAGTATTCTTTAAGGTAAAGTGAATCATTTAAAATGTTATCAAATATTGATGGACAAGATTATTTGTAAATAATTTCATTGACATTTCACGGAATTTCCTGTGGAATTAAGAAGTTGTCTGAGATGTATCATAGTGGAAAGTTCTTTAGTACTTCCGCAAAGTACAAAACAAAAAAATCTTGTTTTACTGGCTACAACAGAGGATGTTTTTTATCAAAAATTTTGGAAGTTTTACTGATGCTCTTGTTTCCTTCAATATTAATGGTTATAGGAAATCAAAAATATACATAAAATATGAAGGAATACATCATATATTTCTGTAGCAGTTCTGTGATTTTACTTAAGTTGCATCTTCACTTTACCTTTATAGACAGAATACAAGATGGCAAAGTTTGGCTTCCTTTCATTTGTTTTGTTCTGGTGGATTTCATCTTGTCAAGGTAGTCACTATTTTTATTAGATCATTAAGGAAGTAAATGTTTATTTTTGTCAAATAAAACTGTGGAATTTACTTAGAATTTTAAGGTATATTAACTAAAATACTCACTTAATTCTTCATTTTGTGTACAATGACCATAATCAATTCTGTATTGAATGAAATAATTTAAAAGCAATACCTGGCAGTATTTTAGAAGACAAAGAGTGTTCATTTCTTGCGTAATTTTCATCCAACGTTAGTTCAGTGAGTAAACGTCTCTGTGTACAGTGTTTCATTGAGTAAACGTCTCTGTGTACAGTGTTTCAGTGAGTAAACATGTCTCTGTGTACAGTGTTTCAGTGAGTAAACAACATGTCTCTGTGTCAGTCAGTAAACTCTCCTCCTAAAATAGTTAAAATAAATAAATAAATTTTCATCCACAAAATGAAAAATGCCACAATTTTTATTAGGAGTATTGAAAATTAAATTAATCATTTACGTAATAAAAATAAGAAAATTTCGCGTAACAGACTTCATGAAAATTTATTCAGGAGCGACCGTATTCACCATGTTTTTCATGGGAACAAAACAATCTTATTAAGTTTGAGTCTGAATTTTAACGTGGTTTATTTCTATGCAGGGTGTACATATCCTCTGTGATATAGGTCCTAGACTAATCGATGTCTTAGCAGTAATGTAATGAACACCAAATTCGAAATATTCTGATATCGATATCAATTCATCCCCCTACATCCGTGTTGAATTTCTAAACATTCACAATATCTTTTAACTCGTCAAACTTTCTACGCTTTCCTTCCTAAGACTTAACAAATAGAGCGATTTTATCTTCATTTTCAATTTTTTTGCCTTAAAGAAATGAGTTATTTTCTCCACATATTGCTTCAAAGCCTTAAATGTCATCACTATTCTACAATGCGTAACCTTCTTCATTGTCTGTGTAATATATTGATTCACGCGTAGTTGAATACTGACTTAAATAATTTAGCAGCTGGTATAAATATATAGTAACAATGATTACACTTTAACAACATTATCATTGCAATACTGCAATAGTTTATTTCAAGGTCATTATTTTTCTCTCTATAAGTGTGGTGTCTTTGTGGAACACCTTCAAAAACCTGAATTCCTCTGCCTTTGTATGTTCATTTGAAGAGCCTAATGCTTATTAAGCTTTGGTAGTCGTTGTTATGATTAATAAGACGTTTCTTATGTTTCTTAATGGCTCAGACTGACTTATTTGCCATTGTCTCATGACACATCGGGGCCTCTTCTGGAAATCAAAACGTGCCTTTTATTGTGCACATCTAGCTATATGATATCAATGTGACTGAAATTGAAAAAAATTCTTTCATCCCTTTACTTGTAAAATTAGTTACAATTAAAGAAAACAGTTAAAGAAGTTCAAAGCAAGCAAAAAAAAAGCAAAAAAATGTCCAGGAATGTGTAACTACTTTTAAGTTTTAAACTAACATCAAAGTCATCAGGAATGGAACGACTTCTCTTTTTTATAGCACTAAACTATTTTACTCAGCTAGCAAAGGCTCTGACATTTGAATTTTTTCCGAAAAATATAAATTGTTATCAATGACGACATAATGCCCTCATTTTTAGACACTGAAAATAAATTTATAAATTTGGCACGGGGGTAATTTCCGAGGGCCACCTACGATTGAAATGGCAATTTCCTTAAATTGGAGTAAGTTCGAGCCTTTATCTATTTGTTAATTTTGTTTTATATGTTTCTGTTCTCTATCCTTTGCTACTGTTTTCATTTAATAATTGATATTTAATGGATTAAAATGAATTAAACTTTATTAGATTTTATACATTTATCTTTTATTTCTTGTCATTTATAGGAATTATTCAATCACCTCCCTCTGGAACAAGTTTTACATTTCTACCTGGAGAAAAACACAATATAACGTGGACATTTAATGATAATTTAAATGATTTGGACAGTAGAGATTGGTATTTCACTGGTAGTAGTAATGGTTCAGCACAAACACTTTTGGCCATTGTCTTTGAAAACTTTAATGTAATAAAGTTAAGTGGACAAATTCCTCCAAATTATGACGCCTACAAACCTTCAACGCTGCGACTAAGAAATATCACTCATAGTTATGATGGAACATATGAGTTTCAATTAGCAAGAAAGGGCCGTGCGTTATCTCCTTTTATATCCAAAGTCAGAGTTTTCGTTGCAAGTAAGTCATCCCTGTTTTTTTATTATTTTGTGTTTTTATCAATTTTAGAAATTGGTATTTTTTTATTTGAACATTTAATATAATTATAATATGATTTATATCGATCATTTTAACCCTGTAGAACCCACAATGTGATTTTCTATAGCTAAAATTATTTCCATTGACTTTTTTACTCATTTGGAGTCATTACTTGCTGAAATGGGGAAAAAATTGTTGTTAGGTCCTATTTTAGCCTCATTGTGTTACGTGACATATATGTAACACCGGGCTCATTGTGGCATAAAAGATAACTTTATGCATTTCAGAATGGTTTGTAAGAATATGCACTTCAAATAGCAGGGCAAAATGTATAATTTTTTTAGTCAACACAACACAAGGTTTTTAAGAATAAAGAAAGATATGTTTTTTGAAATGCTATCACTGGTGGAAATCATAGAAACAATTACGTTCCTCAACAAAACAAAGTCTAACGTCACATTTCATACACACAGTGTTTGTTTGTTTTTCATGCAAAGTTTGCACCGCTCACGTTTCTCACTTTTCTTTGGCCAATGACAGTAGCCATTATTCTGAATATCAGCAGTAAGCAATCGCTGTTTTTTCTTTGGTTGTTGCGGGGTTGGTGATGGAATGCTTGACGTTGATGGTCGGCCTACTTTTCGTTTTGAATTTACATGCACCAGCGATGAAGCAACAGATGCCTGAAAGTTTCGACGGTTCATCATTTCCTTTATTGGAAGTCCCAGCAATCTGTAATCATGCCGGTATAAATTCCATGCATTTACAATTGCCACCATCAAAAAATGCCAATACAGATTGTGTACCACCGGCGTGGTCATACCTTGAAACGGTATTGAGCAAGAAATGAATCAAGCAGATCAATTCCACCCATATGCTTGTTGTATTGATCAAGAACTGCTGGCATGGGCAATTTGACTCGTTCATTCCTCTTTTTGTCCCATCTCTCAGCTGGCATAATAGGCTCAATTCCAATAAGCGTATAACAGAGTGTAACAGCTTTATTGTCAAACCAATGACTCGCAACAATGTTGCTTTTCTGTTCAACTCTGTGATCATAAGGCCCTCTTACCGTCTTCTTCAAGATCTTTTCCTCCTTCAAGTTATATCCTGACAATCGATTCTTTCGTACTTGTACCAGTATAATGCATTCCCCTCTCCTTTAGTTGCAGGAGAAGTTTGAAACTTGTGAACAAATTATCTGCATAAATTTTATAATTGGCATGGTATGCTAAAGTTGAGGTCAGGTTTAGTATTACATCGGCTCCTTGGCCCAATTCACTTCTTTTCCCATTTTCACCTTGGTAAACATCAAAATCGTACAATATTCCACTGTCGCCTGCTCTACACCAGACCTTGAATCCCCATGGATGTGGTTTACTCTTGATATATTGTCGAATGGGACTTGTCCTTCCTCTCTATTTACACATCATTTCATCAATTGAATTGTGCTCTTCTGGAATATGTTTTTGGCAGTTTTCTCTCATTTTTTCAAGCCATGGTCGAATTTTCCACAATTTGTCTCTCTTGTCATTGTCAGATACCAACGAATTGTTCACAAAATGAAGCATTCTCAACAAAAGCTGAAATCGATTACGACTCATGACATCACAAACAGAACTGTATGCAGTAGCAGATTCCCAATACTGTCGAACTCCACTCATCCTTACAAGCCCATATGAAAAAACATACCAATGAATTGTTCTATCTCTTTCTTATTAATGTTTATTGAGTTTCCAGACTTTTGGACACTGTATTCATTGGTGCTTGTCACCAAATTTTGAGGCATATCATCACTCACAAATTGCTTAAAATATTGAAGAGGAGTTTTTGTTTCCATGTTCACTGGGGCTTCGACGTTTGGACCAGTAAATGTTACACTAGTTTCCGACACAACAAATGAAGTTTTTCTCAAACTCGGCTTACTTGTTTGCATTGAAGCTATGGACATGTTATCATCATTGTTATCACTATCATCGATTTCCCCACTCACATTTTCAAACTCACCATCATCATCACTGCTGCCAGAGTATCCTCCCTACAGAAATTGATTGGCTTCTTGAATAATCGGCCTTACTGAAAATTGCTGACAAGTTTATTTGTATTTTGAAATTTTATAACAATCAATCTTTGAGAATTTTAACATGACAGGCTTGTGGCGCTTAACAAGCAATTGTAATTTTTATAAAAATATTATGAGCTCGTATGAACAGCCCCTTAGTTTCATGTCATTGTTACTAAAAATTCATGAATGTTCATTATCCTGTAGGTAATTTTTTCGTAAAATCTCGAGGATGAAAATATTTTTAACAAACTTGATTCTTAGAGGCCAATGTGCTGTAAATCTCTTTTTCATCACATTGCATTAAAATGACACGTAACTTTGTGTCTCTTCCATTATTGCTCTTCATTCAGACAAAGCATCTCCAATTCTTACAATTTGTTTTTAATTATAGTTTAAAAAGCTTTAATCCTTTTAATAAGATCAGGAGAAACGTTCATTTTTCCAACTTATGTTGTAAAATATTGTGGTCTATTGAATTGAAGCCTTTTTAAAAGTCTGCAAAAAAGTTGAGCAGCTACCAAATTCATCAAATTCATTCATTTCACGCAATTGCTTCAAATTCATCTTCATCAGTTGTACAGTGGTCTTTCCATGCGTATTGTTGTACATTGATTTTATCTTTAAGCAGTTTTGTAACAGTAAGGCATTCCATAATATTAGCCAAAGCATGCGTAAATGAAATGGGTCAGTGTTCATATTTTTTGGAGGGATCACTTCAGGGATTAAGGATAAAAATTGAAGTTTTTGCAAGAGCAATGGTAAATTTCCGTCTTTAATGACTGATTATGCATCTTTTACATGACTGGGACGGAAAGATTTAAGCCTTAGAGCGACTTGTTTGGGATAATATCTATTTTTGATGTGACAAACAATATCAACGGTACATCAAACGGCTACTAAAACGAAGTAAACACACTAGTGGAAACCTCAAAACGCAATTCTTTTTCGTTTACATTTCATAAACAAAAGTTGTCGAATGCTTTAATGTGAAGAAAAAACCAGACATACAAACCAGTCAAATCAACTACAGACTATTCTAACAAATCTAAATCCAAGTCTTTCTATTACAAACTACCCAGCAAAAACTACGAAAGTGTACAAGACGCTTCTGTAATTATGTGGACATTAAAGTAGTTTATTCCTTTGAGAAAATTCCAGAGGTTAAAGCCAAATTCCTCCCACAAAATAAAAGCCACTGAAAGACACTATTTCCTTTCTTTTCGATTCTTTTGCGTGATGTAATTCTCCTTATAATATTTAGGAGATAACTCGCCATTTCTTCACACTCATCAAAGAACACACAACTTCCAACAAGAATTTACACATTTACAAACACCTTCACACTTCACTACAATGTAAAACTAACTACAACAATTTATGATTTTGCATCGTGGACATCGGTTGCCTTTTATTTTACTCTAAAACTTAAAGAAGCTCTCTATACTAAAAAAGTCAAACAAACAAATTCATCACATCAACAGCATCTTCAATTTCTACGTATCTCTAGATTATTCAGTAATTTGATACCTGTAACATATTTCATATGAATATATTTCTCATTCCTCTGTATTGAAGATGGTATAAGCTGGCCGAAACCCATGTTTACTATGAAAAAAAATCATGTTTCTCTTAAAATGTTTCATATATCTGTTGTGTTGTTAGGAAATCATAAAAATATGATTCGTACAATAAAAAACAGTTTTTACCATCATATGAAATGATGTAACAAACATTTCAACATTTCATGGTTAAAAATATTTTTGTTCTATACTGTATTGTTGTTAGATAGTGGTTATGTAAAACGATATCTTCTCTTTTTTTAGTGAAACCAAATGTTTTAATTAGTTGTTCAAATCCTCTGGTTGTGAATAAAGGTGATAGTTTGTCATGTGTATGTAGAGGTGAAGGAGGTAACCCTCCTGCTAATGTCACATGGTTTGATAATGATAACAACATACTTGGTGATGTTGGAGTTGTAAATAAGACATTAGTAATCACTAATGTTACATTAAATGATGGTGGAAATTACACATGTAAAGCAAAAGTTATAATGATCCACGTTTTAGAGATGAAAAATCTATTGAAGTAACAGTGAAAGCTACTTGTAAGTTTGTAAGACAGCATTTCAGATCTCATTATAAACGTTTGTGTAGAATATTGAATTTAATTTTATTCTTTACAGATCCACCACAACAAACCATTATTACCATCAGTCCAATGTCAGTGAAAAAAGATCATAAAGCGACCATATCTTGTGAATCAGATTGTTTTCCTCCGCCAACATTCATTATTTATCATAATGGTGCAGTTATCAGCAATAATAAGACATACATCATTCAATCTGTCAACTTCAATCACGCTGGTTCATATCGTTGTGAAGCAAAAAATAAACTGGGAAATGATTTATCCGATGTTAAAAATCTTACTATCATCAAAGGTAAAATTAAAATTTTACTTCATCAATTTTTTGGGCTAGTATTCTACATTGTACATGAACAAATTACGACTATTCAGTTTTATCCCATTTGTACACGATAGTGCAAGATTGTGCTGAACAATGAAGATAGTTATATATTTTTCTTTGTTGGCGAGATTTAGATTCGTTGTGGTAAAAGACTACCACTGCCAATTATGATTGACTCTTAAGCCTACACCTCAAATGCCCCTTTCGCTGCCTACTGCGCTGACGTATGCATCTGTCGTCACCTAGCTGTTAACTTTGGCAATTGCATATCCTCATTAAATAGGTTATCAAGAGCCTTAGACGACTATGATTTGTTTATAGTTCTTCGAAGACCAATGATAGTTGTTTAGGCTTCATAATAAGTCAATATTCTTTAGGTCTAGTCGGTCACGCGATTGACTTTCAAAATTTCAAAATTTATTAATAATATACATCTTGAAAGTTGAGTGATTATTGTTTTGTTGTTGTTCTTTTCCAACATCAAAGTCTTTTTTACAAATAAGATTTTTAGTAAGCAAATTGCTTAATAGTGCAATGGCTTAATCCAAAAATCTCATTGGATAGCAGTTTAGTGGAAAATTTCCACTAATTTGGACTTTTAGCCAGTGATAAGCGTGCTTCCTGCTCGCTTGTGACTGGTTAGGGCATCGATCCAACAATCCGAAGAAAATGCACTTAACACTAACGAATATTCTCATTATTAATTTTCTTTTTCATAACTAATTTAAGAAAGGAATATTTTTTGTTTTTAATTTCAGTGAAACCAAAGGTGGTAATTAATTGTTCAACTCATGTGGTTGTGAATGATGGTGATAACGTGTCATGTGTATGTAGAGGTGAAGGAGGTAACCCTCCTGCTAATGCCACATGCATTTGTCGTTTGATTTTTTGCCATAACCTGTGAATTTGTTTAACAACTGTTTCTCCGAATTCGGTAATTTTTTATTGATTTATTAAGTTTTGGAGCTTGGCTTGGTTTTTACTTTCAGAAAGTCTGGTCACGGTGGGCCACACTGATTAAATACATCTATTTTATTCAATGTATTTTGGTTTAATGATCACCACTTAGATCACCACTATATTGAGTGAATATATGCACAGAAATATGAAATACGCCCATCGAAACTGCATAATCAACAACGACATCACGTACGTTAAACTGTAGTGACGTACATCACGTGCGTACATCATTCATCTAGATTCATGTATTAGCAATAGAGGAAATAGCCAATCTTACACTTACTCAAACGCGCTACTTAAACTTACGCACTTAACTTTATAATTACGTAAAACTACTCAAATTTCAAGTACATTATCCGCTGTGTAAAAACTGCACCTTCTTTAACCAAATATATAAAAAGCCTGTAAATAAATTCTAACAGATAGAACTCTCACGACTGTTGTAAGTAACTTCTTCGCTAGTGAATAAAATAATCACAAAATTTAATAGCGTTCTAGTACATTGAACTCACGTTCGGAGCTCATACGAAAGATTTATATGTAACGCTAAATTGGTGACCCCGAAAAGAAAAAACGTTAAAAAACGTTGCGAAGCAGAAAATTGAGTCTTTCTGAAATTCTCACGGAAGAAAACCAAATTACAGGGGTATGTTACGTTTTGCTGTATTTTTAGTGGAATAACGTACTTGTCCTTGTTGTCTTAAATGAAAATATTGTTTTGCTGTAAAGTTTTGGCGTAAATATTCATGTAATTCGACAGGCGCTATTGAAACGAATCTCTTATCGAGAATTCTTAGTCCAAACAAAAATTAGCCAATACTAAAGTTGTGTTTGTGAAGGAAGACAAATTTTTGTCTGAATTCGAGAAAACCTTCAATAATATGGTACACAACGTCGCTTTAAAGAAAGCTTTTTAAGAATTTTGATGCATTTTGAATTTCATAATTTAAAAGACCAAGACGAAACACTACATTAAATACTAAATGAGTATGTTGGGTTTCATTTCTTCTTTCATTCTTGAAAATATTTCTGTACTTCCTGTTGTATTGTTTAGTTAGGGGGTGTTTACTTGAATCCGGAATGACTTTCAATCCGGAATGAACGTGACTCGATCGAGATCGAGTTCATTCCTATTTTCATTCCGGATTGAAATTTAGTTTTAATCTCATGTAAACGCGAATTGAGTTTCATTCAGGAATAAGATTATGATTAATGACGAAGCACGCATGCGCCAGCGTAGTGTTTTCTGGCAAATTTAAAGGACATTGGCAACGAAAATTTTTATGGCATATTTTTGAAACTTTGTGATGTCTAACAACTAAAATGCAAAATTTTTTTTCAAAAATATTTTGTTGCTGAGATATTTGCAGCAAAAGTTTTATAAATTTCGCCATCTTGGATAAAATTTTAATAAAATTGTCTCGAGCGGTTGTGACGTCATTGGCTGGTGAGCAGTCATTACCTTATCTCAAACATTTTTATGGTTTATGACATAAAAACATAACCCAACTGTTGTGGTAACCTTATCGATTTGATATGGAAACCTTAACCCTCAGGGTTACCCTAGCACACATGTAAATGCTACAATTAAAGCAATTTGACGTAGGGTAACTTGCTTGTTAATGTAACCCTTCTGCTGGAATTACCCTACCTCCATGGGCTTAACAATCACTATATTTTATCATGAATCATACTGTAAACATTTGCCCATAAGCCTTGAACTTATATAAATTTGTATGCCCTCTTTCTTGGGCTTATTTGTGTTGATGGAATGCTTAGATTATATTGTATGGCAGTCATAAGCACAGTATACATAACACAGTCTTTATTGACAATAGTATGAAAATTCAACTGACAAAACATCAAAACATAGTAAAAGTATGCGTAAACAGTTTACAATTACATTAATTCTTATCCTGTAATAAATATATGCTTGTGGGCTTTTCTGGGCTTTTCTGTGGACCGAGTTGCAAACTAAACTAACTTCGAGTTGCCATAGCTACAAACAGTTAGTAAAAGGTAAAAATTCATTCGAAACTAAAGCATTGTAGTTGAATAAAGAAGAATTTCTGTTCACTATTACTTAAGAATTACACAAAATTACTTTCCTGTACAGCTAACTGTCTTTTCTTAAAGTTCATTTTGCTAAAACAATGTCAATCCTCATCTATAACCAATGTTTCTTTTGTAGTTTGTGTATAGACAGAAATACTTTAATTACATAGTTAAATGATTTAAATTTCAAGTTTATTCTGTTAAGAACATTAGGAAAGTTAGCCCTCAAATTTGGTTGTGCTATGTAAATTTCAGATCATTGTCATTGTTCATTTGTTTGAAATCTATTGTTTTTACAGCTAGTGAACTCATGAATAATTTACATAGCAGAGCTAAAGATATGCCACTGGTCACTTAAAATAATTGTAAAGTGAGTTGTAAATGTACTCAATGATTTACAATCTTTAGGAAACAGTCTTTATGTTTGTCTTATGCTTTCCTAATCAACTCAAGAAAGAAAAGTGTTAACTTTGTTTTCACAGGCTTATGTAAACTGAGGAGACCTTTTGGAGAACTTGAGAGTTGATCAGTGCAAAGCAGGTTTTGCACCTGCTTGAGCGTTCTCACAAAGATCTCTGAGGTTTGCATAAGACTTTCAAGGTTTGCGTTTTAATTTTCTACAAAGGGCTTTAATGGATGTTTGCAAAATCTCTTTAATTGATTGAGGTTGAGCTCCGATCAATTTACCCAGGCTAATGCAAACTCAGCCTTCCAATCAGTGCACACGTTTTACTGTTTTTATTTTATAAAGCAAATTAAAACACAAAAAATTTATTGCAATGATAAAGATTTTTCTGTGGTAGAATTAATGGAACATATTGCTACGCAAAATGTTGCCCATTTACGAGTAGAAATTACTACTTATTTTGATGCACCATGTTTAGTTCTGTGTACTGGAGATGGGCCGCAGCGCCGGCTATTTTTACTAGTTCAGAATTGACAAGCCGGAGCTGAAAAACCGGAATTTTCACAGCACTAAACATGTTAACTCATGATTTTATTTTCAAAGATCATAAGCATTAAAATTCATCATTTAATTTTTTAGTGAAAATGGTAAAGACAAATTTAGTATTTTCGACTGTTACATTGATCACATTTCTTGGTCTTGCCAAAGGTATTTAACTTCAAATATCCATTTCTTTTTTTTTACTTAAATGATTTTTGATGTATTTTTAGTTGTTGTAGTAGTAATATTTAATTAGTTTATTTTTTTTATTCACAATTTTTAAATAGAACCTGAATTAAAAACATCAATTACTTTTGTTATGTTAGTAGAAGATGTGTTTTGTCCCTAAACTATCTTTTTATCAGTCATAGATATCAGCTAAATTTCAATTTCAGGAACAATAACATCTCCACCTGATGGTAAAAGATTTGTATTTTTACCTGGAACTTCTCACAGGATAATTTGCAGATACAATAACATTAGTGCGTGGCGTTGGAGTTTTACACCTCGTGGCTCATCTTCTCCTCAACAAATTGCAAGATTATTTGCTAATAGCTACATACCTGATTATTTGTCACGACCTTTTGCATTTGAAGTTTTTAAACCTGGAACTTTGAGGCTGAAGAATGTAAATCAAAGTTACAATGGTGAATTGACATTTAGAATTATAACTACTCCTCCTACTCCTCCATCAAAAGCAAATGTTTATATTGCTGGTAAGTTTTAATTATTTCAATCTTGTGTTGTATGCATTGTTCTGAGTATTTAATGGGGTAAACTTGATCTGAAAATTTCGCCGAAGAAACGTTTATTACAGTTATTGTGTCGTTGCAAACTTTCTTTTTCGGAGTTGGATCTTTAGGACATTTGACAATGCTTCTGCAACTCATGCAATTGTAACAATAAGTGGCAATAATGGAGGCCTAAAATATGATACATCAGTCCTTAAGTCATTTGGTTTAGATGTTGAAGTTTTTAAACCTGCAACTCTAATGTTAAAGAATGTTAGACAAAGTTACATTGGTGTTTATAAATTTACCTAACTCCTAATCCTATTGACTTATCTGTAATGTGTCTTTTGCAAGTAAGTTGTATTTATTATTTTAAACTTAACAGCGGGGTTATCCAAGCCTTTCATGTAATCTGAGTAGCTGTAGCATCGGGCGTAATTATACGATGTATGACCTCGGTCTGGAATCCTATAGCTAAATACTTGAGCCGTTGAACGAAGACAAATGCAAAGACTTGTTTTATTTTGTTTTAATTTAAAAAGGAAATTATAAGACATCTTTCGATTTGAATAATCTATGTTAAAGTGCTTGTATCACAGATTTTACTACATTTGAGTATAGGACAAAAAATTAGTTTTTGATACCACTTTCGATTTTTGTGGTATAAAATTTGATATCAATTGATCAACTGGTCATATCACTATTATGTCTTGCCGAACAAAGAACAGTCTATCCACGCTTACAGATGCTGATGTTAAAAGCTTGATTCTGAAATTGCCCAAAACAGATGAAACCAAGGAAAAAGATATTCCATCAGAAAGATCTGACAAAAGATAACGGAAACAAGACGAAGGAAAATGAAAAGTGCACCGAACCTAATGATAAAGAACCAAAATTTTGCGCGCACGTGGTTGGTGTTGAGATATTTGTTTTAACATTAACCAGCACAGACAAAATTGTTTCAGAAAAGTTAGACATCGACGATAATGCAAGTAAACTCGACCAAATCCTCACTCGTCTACGTACTTTAGAAGAAAAATCGAAAAAAGATGATAACGAAAAAGCCGTCCTTCTAGTCGACAACGCAAAAATGGCAGCCGAGATTGACCATTTGAAATTTTTTATTAGCATGCTAAGAGAAGACTACAATCGAATCTTGTCTCTCCTTGATAACAATCAAAATGTTTGGATACATGTCAATCGTAAGAATCAGCCCAAGACCAATCAACAGAAACCAACAACTAATCCTTATCCTCTAGTAAATAGATTTGGAAATCTCCACGATAAATCCCACAAAGAAAGTCACGTAGCTCCGACAGTTAGCACACCGTCAATGGAAGTATGCCTCACTCAGTCAACTCAGTCCAACTGATTGCCTAGCGCAATAAGCAGAAGGAAAAATTCACCAAGTAAAAAATTGACACTCCTAATGACGACCAAGATATAACTGACCAAAAAACTCATAATTATTCAACTGCATCAACTCTTATCATTGGTGACTCAATGCTGAAACATATAGATCCAAAAAAGATCTCCTGGGCAGCGAGAGGTAAATGTACCTACCACTTCTTCAGTGGTGCAAAAGTAAAGGACATCCAGCAAAATGTCCTGGAGATCCCCCATAATAAATATGGTACTATTATTATTTATGTTGGTACTAATGATCTTGTCAATAGTAGCGCTGATGAAGTTGCCACAGGTTTAGAAACGTTGATTGTAAGTGCGAAGAAGTTAGCAGGTAAAGTGGGAATTTCAAGTGTTATAAAAAGATTTGATGGCAAGGTCATAATGTTATCATCACATGAAAATTACTCAAGCTGTAAACTGTATCAAACCCAATTAAACATTGAAATCACTGATCAAAGAAAAGGATTCATATTTTTTGAAACAGCTTTTAAAACTGTGAAAGTTGAAAAACTGTTACCTGGTTCATAAATAAATATCAAAAATTTGGAAATTTTTTAACACTTAGTATTCCTCGCATTTACTGGTTCATTTTGGAGCTATTTGTACACGAAAAACAAAATGCTTTTGTTATGACATATAAAGTATAAAATGAAAGAAAGATTAGAAATCTCAAACACTTCGAAAATGTCCATTTTGTTGGTTCTGAATTTCAAAGATATTTTATTATCTCGACAAGTATAATTTGATTCTGGGCTTTTTATTTTTGCTATTTGCAAAGCATAATGAGCCGATACATGTACGCTTAACGTACCTGTTTTTTAGTTTTTCCTCCCAAATTATCGAGCACAAACGCGCATAAACCGTTTCGTTCAATGACAGGGCTCTTCAGCATGCGCAGGAAACACATAGTGCAAAGCAGTCATGTGATTCCGGGCATAGAGCATTAAGCGACAGTCTTTGGTTGCAGGCAGTTGCACAGACTGAATTCCTGCAGCTACAGCGCATTATAGCAGACATTTGCGCTCTCAGAATTTCTGCAGGAAAGTAAATATCAATGACACGTTAAGAAAATAATAAACGGATATTATCTTCAGCAGACTTGGTAATCACACTTTCAATGTCAGAAATAATTTCTGGATAAATTTGCATTAAAGCCAAGCAAATTAAAAGCTCTTCTATCATAAAGCTTCTAAGATAGGTTCTTAGATTCCTTAGTGATGAAATTTATCTCTCACATTCATTACCTAAAATGCAAAGATTAACTTTAATATTTTCAAATCCTGGAAATGTTACATGCTTCAGTGTTTTGACGATGTTATCTGGCAAAGGCCCATTGTACGTTTCCCAGTATAAACACCATTGCCTTTAATTCAGCATCTAAACAAAGGGGATTGGGCAAATCATCATGATAGAACTTTGCAACACTTTTAAACTGTTCTTTCCAATCACTCTCCTTGTCCGACAGAGTCATCATTTTGACGGGAACGATAGATAATCCTCGGTACACATTAACACTATCCAAGTTAAACCTAGTGCTCAAAATGTTTGAAGATGGTCTAATAAAGGAATAGTGATGGTTAGTTTATAATGTTCTTTGAATGATTGACTGGGAGGATTAGATCTCCTAGTTTCTTCGACTTTGACTTCTTCAGCAAGTTTTACATGCATCCTCTTCAATAATTAACGTTTTTCCTCGTGACCTGTATCAACAATAGGTTTAAGAATTTTTGTATTTTGCTAAATTTCTTGTTTCACATTGGTATGAAAGAAATTTTCAATTGGCTGAGCTACACCTGACAATTTAGATCGTTCATTATCCAAAATTGGGAAGTAGAAACATGTGGTCCCATTTTCCCCCCATGTAAGTTCCAACATGTTGCCTAAATTTACCTACAGCATCATTCCAATGACGAAAGGGTGAACATTTAGTCTTGAGCATTTACTTGGGAATTTGTGTTCAAAAAGCACACATGATAAGCAATAAACACGATCTTCTTTTGATGAATAACAGATAGATAAAAACAATTTGCTTAAATTAATAATTTCTTTGGAAATCCATTTGAAAGAAGTATTGACTCTTTCTTTTCACGTGTTGAAGATACACAATCATGTGCCTTACTAAGCGTTGCCAATTTAACTTTACTTTTTAAATTTGAGAAAATCTTCTTGACAACTGGTGAAGAACTATTTTTGTAGTGTGTTTTCTTCATTGCTTACAGTTTTTCGAAGCTTTCATCCAACTCATCAGCCAAAATCACCTTGTCGTCTTTAAAAGAAATACAAACAATGTTGAATACCTTTCTTTTTTCTTGAGCCCATGTCGTGGCTTTTCAACTCTTAGACTCCAAGTCAGCATAATTCAAATGGCAGCACAGGTTATGAAAACACTATTTGGTATGACTTGCATGTTGTTCAATAGTCAGCTGGCTTCAATAATGTCTTCAGTATTTGTTTTGTTGTTTTGTCTTCACTATTTCTATAGTGAAATGTTTTTGTTATACCTGTTTACTTATATATGTTCTGCTCCTCGTTTTACTCTGTTTATTTGTTTTAACGAATGTCCTTATTTGACTTTGCCACAAACTTTCGTAAGTGAAATCAGTAAGTGAAATAAGTCAATGAAGTTCTTTCATCACTTTTTTATACTTCAACTGTCTGAACTTTCGTTGATTTCAATGAATGGCAATCTTCTATTTGCCACACCAAGTACACGGTCAGAAGCATAGCGATGGTTTCTATGAATTTTGCGACTAGTCTTACAATGAAGATTGTCAAGGTCAATTACCAGTTTCATGCAGCATTTTTAACTGCGTTCTATATTAACCACGCTAGACTTTGCATTTCTTGCTTTTTCAATGCACTTGATTTCAGACGTTTCAACATCCATTTGACAAACAACATACATGTATGTAATGAAAAGGTCATTTGTGGCTACAAAGATGGGTTTACCATCTCCACCAAGTTCTTCTTTTACAGGATGTGCATCGATCAACGAGTTGTGATGCACTCCTACCAAAAATGTGTTTGAACAGTGGATATATAATCCAACTTATGATTTCTCATTGTTTACTTGCTTACATGTTAAAGCATCAATAATTTCATACCTACCGACATTTGACAACGCGCCATTGCCTGATATGCACTCCTCTGTCAAACGGTTAGAGGACTTGATCAATTTGTTTTGCTGTGTCTTAAATTTCTAAAACAATTATTTTCGGAATTTTCAGGTTAATGCTCTAATTCTAAAACAGTTCTTTTCCGAACTCTTAATTTTTTCTTGATTTTTTCTTTGTTTTCTCTGGTTAGCTTTTTTCTCGGTATCTTGGGGTTTCGTGGTTTTTTATTTGGTTTCAGTCCATTCGCCATTACAATTGCTCTCTTTAAGGCGATATTCAAACTTGTCACCACGACAAAGTCTCTGTTTTAATTATTATTGGATTGTTAAGCGTAAACTATCAGCATCGTTTTCCATAGTTAACATGATTTTTAACTAAGCCTAAACAAACGCTTATAAAGAAACTCTACATTTTCTATCCAGCTCCCCAGCATGGTGGAAAATGTGGAGTTAAAAAATTTCTCAATTGTAAACAAACACTCAGTACTCCGCACTCCAAATTTTTCTCAATGCCATAAAAATAAGACAATTATGAACTATTGGTTTGTTTTGTCATAAAAATGTGTTCTTATATATAACATGTGGCTGAATTTACAAAGGAAATTTCGTGTTTACGATTCAAATTTCAACCAAGATAGAGAATAACTTTGTACTTCACTCCTTGAGGATTGGCTGCAATTCACCTATAGTCAATAAAACTTATCGAAGTTATGTAGAATGTTGCTTTCCTAAATTCCTAATGGAGGTTGCTATGTTTAAAGAAACTTGATTTTATTTATCAATTACTTTTTACCATGTACTCATTTTCTTTTTTTTGAATATTGACGGAAAATTTTCTGTTTTTGTTTTCAGCTAAACCAAACGCGTTAATTAATTGTTCAACTCCTCTGGTTGTGAGTAAAGGTGGTAGTGTGTCATGCGTATGTAGAGGTGAAGGAGGTAACCCTCCTGCTAATGTCACATGGTATGATAAAAATAACAACATAATTGGTGATGTTGGAGTTGTAAATAAAACATTAGTAATCACTAATGTTACAGTGAATGATGGTGGAAGTTACAGATGTAAAGCACAAAGTTATAATGATCCACGTTTTAGAGATGAAAAATCTATTGAAGTAACAGTGAAACCTACTTGTAAGTTTGTAAGACAGCATTTCAGATCTCATTATAAACGTTTGTGTAGAATATTGAATTTAATTTTATTCTTTACAGATCCACCACAACAAACCAATATCACCATCAGTCCAATGTCAGTAAAAAAAGGTCAAAATGTGACAATAACCTGTGAATCAGATGGTTATCCTGAACCAACCTACACTATTTATCATAGTGGTGAAGTTGTCAGTAATAAAAAGACATACATCATTAATTCTTTCAACTTCAGTAATGCTGGTTCATATCGTTGTGAAGCAACAAATAAGCTGGGAAATGATTTTTCTGATGTTAACAATCTTATTATCATTAAAGGTAAAATTATCAACTGGTAACTGCATTTCAGACAGCATTTCAGATCTCATTATAAATGTTTGTGTAGAATATTGAATTTAATTTTATTCTTTACAGATCCACCACAACAAACCAATATTACCATTAGTCCAATGTCAGTAAAAAAAGGTCAAAATGTGACAATAACCTGTGAATCAGATGGTTATCCTGAACCAACCTACACTATTTATCATAATGGTGCAGTTATCAGTAATAAAAAGACATACATCATTAATTCTCTCAACTTCAGTAATGCTGGTTCATATCGTTGTGAAGCAACAAATAAGCTGGGAAATGATTTTTCTGATGTTAACAATCTTATTATCATCACAGGTAAAATTAAAATGTTACTTTCATCAAAGGTAAAATTATCAACTGCTAAGTGTCACGAATTTTTCGCGTTTGTTTACGTTTCAAACGTCACGTTTGTCAGACGAAACGTCGGGTTTCAACTTGTAAACGTTACGTTTGTTCAAATCGCGGATTTTTAAGTTTGAATCAGCTCTTTCTTATATTATATAGTCAATTATCAAACTTTGCAAATCGCCTAAGGTACACAGATGTAATTTTCAGTTGCTACAGCATTCTATCATTGTAAAATCGTATAAACATGTTAATCACATGACCAAAACCTGTTCAATTTGTTCCTCAAACGTTAAACTTTCCTAAGCATACATTACGTTTCTAATTTGAAACCCGACGTTTCGCCTGACAAACGTGACGTTTGAAACGTGAACAAATGCGAAAAATTCGGGGCAGTTACCATTTGAACGCAAATGATGATAAAATCTTACTTTATCAATTTTTGAGATAGATGAGTTTCACTCTTTCATTTGATTTGTTCTTTTTGGTCGATTATTATCATTTTTTCGATAGATATTTCTTTCATTCAGTATTCTGTCAGCATTTTCATCTCTTTGACATTATAATTTGACTTGATTTCCAATAAATGTGTTAACATATGAATCTCCAACATCATTTTCCCTTTCAAAATATTCATCTACTGATTGCAACACGAAAGGTAATTTATTTACAATGCTTTAAAATCATCTTTATGTTTAAAATACTATTAGCTCTTTCTGTTCAATTTGCATGCGCTACCTGAGATGCTAAAAATCCTTAAAAGAAAATTTAAGCATATGGCTCTTTTATAGCAAACTTTAGCCCTAGCCACACAATGCAATTAACATCTCGACCTTTGCCTTACACTTAATGGAAATGCTCAATTCAATCTATCCAATGCTCAATCAAAATGCTCCAATCTTGTTATCATATGTATTTTAGTATTGTATACAAATAAACTCTTTTGATTTTTTCCATATTTTTAAGTTCTATGCTTCTTCTCTAGACAACGTTCTTTGTGATGACCAAAATGAGAGAATAAAACAGTACAAAACAGAATGGTACATTATTTTAATAACTTTAACATCTGGAATTATCGTTGGAATTTTGGTTTCTATTGTTTTTCAATATCGTCGACATTTGTTTTGTAAAAAACGTCAACAATTTCAATATCCATCTGAAGTTAGGATAAATTCTGTTGATACAACTTATCAAGGATTGGATTTATCAAAAATGAATAAAGAAGATAATTATCAATCATTGAGACCAAAGGATGACACAGTTGATAAAACGTATCAAGAACTGGACATATCGAAAATGAATATAGAAGATAATAACTATGAATGTTTGCAAAAAAATGATGAATCGGAGTACGTGATAGCCGACGAAAGAAGAAATTATGAGAACAGTAATTTGTTATTCTAAACATGTGTTTATAAACATTTTCCATGTTGTAAAGTCACAATGGCGCTTTTACGAACATTTACATTTTCTAATAAGATTTGAATTTTGCATCTTTTCCTCCCTTTGGAGCTGCCAATACTTTATGATTTCCAGAAGGAAGCCATTTTTGGATGAGAAAATACACTGGTCATTCTGACTCATTTTTTTGATAACAGTGTATGGTAATACTGTTTTTGAATAAGTATTTTCTATTTATCTTACTGTACACCTGCCTTCCTGACTTGTTTCCTGTTTATACCAAATTGTTTAGAACAGGATCACGAAAAGGTCCTAAAAAAGCACGAAATCTTATTTCTGATGAACCTAAATCGTAAATTTCAAAATTTGTCTTTGATTAGGGAATGCCTGGAGCCCCATCTAGTTAAGAGAAGACCATAGTTGGATAGTTAAGAACACCTTTAGTGATCTACTATGGAGCGCCAATCGTAACAAAAATTGTTTACAGTTTATATGGTCTCATTTTTAATACAGGGCTGATCGTGACTAAAACACCACACGAGTACATACGAGTACATACGAATAACATACGAGTACATACGAGTACATACGAGTAACATACGAGTACATACGAGTAACATACAAGTACATACGAGTAACATACGAGTACATACGAGTGACATACAACTATTTTCTGGTCAACAAATGATAAACAACACAATTTCTTCAATACATTGATATTTGCGTTTATTTTTCCTTGTATTTGTGTGGACTTTGGGGCAACCATTCGATGGATTTAAATGCTGAAAAGGTATTTTACTTTCATACTACATTCATTTGTATGTTTTAGTTGAATTTGTTATAGATATTTTGTCGATGCGATTTGCAAGTATTTGAGCGCTTTTTGACACACTTTCACCTAGGAAATACATATTTATGAAAGCGATTGTACATTCATTTTGGTCTTTAAGATACTCAGTTAAAAGACTGAATTATATCAGCTAGAACTTTAAAAACATTAAAAGTAAGCTGAAATTGTACGCATAATATGATACGTAACTCAGTGCAACTCTCATTTAATTCAAATATATATAATGTACATTTATTTCATATAGCACGTTTTGAAAGCATTATTTATACGTTTTTTATTTAATCGCTTTCATAAATATGTATTTCCTAGGTGAAAGTGTGTCAAAAAGCGCTCAAATACTGGCATATCGCATCGACAAAATATCTATAACAAATTCAACTAAAACATACAAATGAATGTAGTATGAAAGTAAAATACCTTTTCAGTATTTAAATCCATCGAATGGTTGCCCCAAAGTCCACACAAATACATGGAAAAATAAACGCAAATATCAATGTATTGAAGAAATTGTGTTGTTTATCATTTGTTGACCAGAAAATAGTCGTATGTCACTCGTATGTACTCGTATGTTACTCGTATGTACTTGTCATTGAGTTCTATAAGACCTGGAGGGGAAACGTCAACAAAATTACTATAAATTATCAGCGCGCGGCCGCGTGGTCAAAAACATGGCGGATTTTGGTTGTCAAAGTCAGCGGAAAGACGCGGGCTCATAAAATGAAATTTTTTTCGCCCACCCGGATTTGACAACCACAATAGCGATTATATAAAATATCAATGCCAAACACAAAAACTTTTAGAAATTTTATCTTTAAAACATGTTGCAAACTTGTTTGGTAGACGGATGCTGAAGTAATGCCAGAAAAGGAAACATTTCATGATACCGGTAAGCAACGTAAGATTGTTTACCATTTAAAGTGTTCAGTGTTTTGTTTTAAGTCAATACTTGAAGTGTGATTGTATATATTTTGTGAATGTTTTTACTCCTAAGTTATAATTTAAGTTATGTTTATCCATTCTTATTTGTTTTACTTAATCGCTTGCTAGACGAGGCAAAGCAACCAGTTCTTATCGAGATATGCATATCTTAAAACTCCTTGTTTCAACTGAGTTGAAATGGAGGATTTTTTCATGATATTTTTCTGAAAATATGAAGCAAATATTAAGGACAGAGCTGTATTGAAATCAAATGCAGTGCAAGATTAATTAATGAGCTCTTTGGTACATGTCAGACAATAAAAATACCTGTATTAAACAGCTAGCCTGGACAATTTGACAGATTATGGACAATCATGATGATGGTGTGTAATGGTTTGCTTTATGCTAAAAGTTTTATGAATGCCATCTGGTGTTTCTGTAAATGAATTGTTTGTTACACAGTGTAGTAAACAGGTTAGTACATCAAAATCAAGATAAAAACTACTTTGTTCAATAATGTGCCAAATTTTGCTCCTACCTTGAAATATTTGCTCAAGCAAAGCTTATCATGACATGCATGAAACATTAAATACAGTACTGCATCATCTGACAAAGTCCATATGTTTTTCAATTCCAGGTGATTAAAAATTCACATAAGATGCATTGGTTTGCAATGAAGTTGAATGTGGAAGAAGCAAAAATTGATGACAAAGAACTTTTTATGTCTTTTGAAGAATTACGATATCATTTAAAAGAATAAGAGTAGCAATCTAGTAAAAGAAGCCACATTCCTTCAACATGAGACTTTTCCAATTATGTATAGTTATTTTGTACAAAATACTATTTTAGATAAACTTGATTTTAAGTCATTTACTGATATTTTTACCAAAGACAAAAGAAAATTCCAAGGCATAATGTAAAATTCAAAATTTGTCAAGTTGTTTGAACCTAGAAAAATTAGTATAGGTAACTGTAATTTGTAAGGACACAAGAGAAAAGTAGTGCAAGAAGGTTAGCATTTTTGAGAGTTAATAAGTTCTTGACATACATTACACAAGGCCATAATATTATAAATAATGTCTGTATAATAACAATTATACAACATGCTAAATATCTTCACCTACATTATAATTATTTAAACAGGTTTGCCTTCATGCAGCAATAAGAAAAGTGTTATGTCAGAGAAACCAATGCACTTTAATTTAAGAAATCGTATTTTCAATGGGAAATTAATGTAGTTCTGTTCAGTAGTAGATCCATGGTTGTCAATGACAATCCAGTTACTAATATCTTGGCTCAAAACAGAACCAGCAACATGATTATAGAATTTCTGAATTTCGCTCTTTTGCTCTCCTAGTTCAAGATATTTTCTTCATAAGTTCTCAGTAGATTTATCAGAATATCATAATACCTTATAAGACACCCAGAATCAATCCTACCAAAAACTCAAAAAATACATACCTACTTATAATATATTTCCAGTCGACTTAAGTCGTAGGGGTAAGCTAACTTTTTCTAACTCCTTTTTGGACATTTTAACTAATATTTACCCATCTATTCAAGAAAGACAGTTGCACGAAGCTGTTAAAAAATAGTCAAAACACAAGTATTGCGCATGGGATTATGCATTAAAGCTTAACGACACATTGACAGTGTAAAGAATGCCGTTTGATATTTATTTCTAACATAGCTAAAGCATTACTTGACAAAACATACGTTATTTTACAGTAGATTTACCTCATTTAAATGTGTGTGTCTATTTCACAAAAATCTGAAGCATTATTTTCAATATTTTATGCTTACGGTATCGTGGTTGTTTTCGCTGGTTGTCATTGATATAAGCAGTAATAGAGTTCCGGATTCGGGAGGGAGCGAATGTTAAAAATTTTTCTCAAAGTGGAAGTTTTGACAACCAAAATCCGCCATTACCGCCATGTTTTTGACCACGGGGTCCAGGCCCCTTAGCCCCTCCAGGTCTTATAGAGCTCAATGGTACTTGTATGTTACTCGTATGTACTCGTATGTACTCGTATGTTACTCGTATGTACTCGTATGTACTCGTGTGGTGTTTTAGTCACGATCTACAGGGCTAGTGGGTTGTTCGACAACACAAAGAGAGCCTCAAAAATGCGGGGACCTTTAGAAAATTTACCGTCTTAACACTTGAAATATAAACAAATGTACTGGAGAATCCCAACTGTTTAATATCGCAATGCTCCAGACATACAAAAACCTCCATCATTCGAGCGTAACAATAAAACTCGTGTACCCATGACAAAGGGGTCCCCCAGAAACGACTGTGGGGGATCTTGGGACTTTTTGCTCAAAATCTTGGGAATTTGTAAAATAGTGAGTGGCAACACTGCCCCCATCTGGAATTCTTTGTAGACAAAGTACAAGAAATTTTTAATTCTGTAATTAAAATTGTGAAAATTACTAAGAATATTTCAGCAAAGGCGATTTATGCAGATGTTATTTTTCACTATGATTTTCTTACAAAATCCACTTGTGGATGCTCATCGCCTTCAAGAGCATTGTAATCAACTAGGAAATGAATATTGGCACAGCGTGTCGAAGTATGCTTTCACAATTTATACATTCATCTAAAAGCACCATTAAGTCATATGTAAGGATAAAATTACAGAATAAAGATTGCGCGGCTGGTATTCTGTTTTTAAAACAACTCTGGGCAATTTGTGTGGCTTGTCATGAGACAGGTTTTGATAAAATATGATCGCTCTGTTACATATGACAGCGTCGTCACGACGTTTACATTCTGTTATCATTACTTATGTAAATATTTGCACAACATGAGATCCGGAAATAATTTTGAATAGAGGAAAATTAGCTGGTTTCTTTAAGAAGCACGTGAAGATTTTTCGCCAGCTTAGTTACTTCAGTATTCTTTAAGGTAAAGTGAATCATTTAAAATGTTAACAAATATTGACTGTTCAGTTCATTTGTAAATAATTTCATTGACATTTCACGGAATTTCACGGAATTAAGAGTTGTCTGAGATGTATCATAGTGGAAAGTTCTTTAGTACTTCCGCAAAATACAAAACAAAAAAATCTTGTTTTACTGGCAACAACAGAGGATTTTTGCCTTTAGTTTACACTAAAAATACAATGTTTTCCATAGAAAATTTTGGAAGTTTTACTGATGCGCTTGTTTCCTTCAATATTAATATTCATAGGAAATTAAAAATGTACATAAAATATGAAGGAATACATCATATATTTATGTAGTAGCTCTGTGATTTTACTTAATGTCATCACTATTCTACTATGCGTAACCTTCTTCATTGTCTGTGTAATATATTGATTCACGCGTAGTTGAATACTGACTTAAGTAATTTAGCAGCTGGTATAAATATATAGTAACAATGATTACACTTTAACAACATAATCATTGCAATACTGCAATAGTTTATTTCAAGGTCATTATTTTTCTCTCCATAATTGTGGAACACCTTCAAAAACCTGAATTCCTCTGCCTTTGTATGTTCATTTGAAGAGCCTAATGCTCATTAGGCTTTGGTAGTCGTTGTCATGATTAATAAGATGTTTCTTATGTTTCTTAATGGCTCAGACTGACTTATTTGCCATTGTCTCATGACACATCGGGCCTCCTGGAAATCAAAACGGGCCCTTTATTGTACACATCTAGCTGTATGATATCAATGTGACTGAAATTGAAAAAAATTCTTTGATCTCTTTACTTGTGAAATAAGTTACAATTAAGAGAACAGTCAAAGAAGTTCAAAGCAAGCAAAAAAAAAGCAAAAAAATGTCCAGGAATGTGTAACTACTTTTAAGTTTCAAACTAACATCAAAGTCATCAGGAATGGAACAACTTCTCTTTTTTATAACACTAAACTATTTTACTCGGCTAGCTTAACGTCGCTTTAAATAAAACTTTTTAAGAATTTTGATGCATTTTCAATTTCATAATTTTAAAAGACCAAGACGAAATTCTACATTAAATACTAATTGAGTATGTTGGCTCTTGAAAAGAGAGTAGAGTTGACTCTTGAAAATATTTCTGTACTTCCTGTTGTATTGTTTAGTTACAAACTAGTAAGGGCCTGTTTACATGGGAATAGGGTAACCATACTTGCAAGGCTATTTCATTATCCAAATTCATTTTCATTATATTATATTCACATTGAGTGTTTTTTTTCAATGAAGACTTAACACACATAGCGAGCCGGAGGTGTCACAGCACTGACCATGTTAACTCATGATTTTATTTTCAAAGATCATAAGCATTAAAATTCATCATTTCATTTTTTAGTGAAAATGGTAAAGCCAAATTTAGTATTTTCGACTGTTACATTGATCACATTTCTTGGTCTTGCCAAAGGTATTTAACTTCAAATATCCATTTCTTTTTTTTACTTAAATGATTTTTGATGTATTTTTAGTTGTTGTAGTAGTAATATTTAATTAGTTTATTTTTTTTATTCACAATTTTTGAATAGAACCTGAACATCAATTACTTTTGTTATGTTAGTAGAAGATGTATTTTTTTCCTAAACTATCTTTTTATCAATCATAGATATCAGCTAAATTTTAATTTCAGGAACAATAATATCTCCACCTGATGGTCAAAGATTTGTATTTTTACCTGGATCTTCTCACAATATAACTTGGAGATTTGATGTTACTGTAAACATTATTTCACGGGTTTTGAGTTTTACACCTCGTGGTTCATCTTCCCCTCAACAACTTGCAGCAACTTGTTTTGCTAGTAACACACCCCTATATTCAGCATCACCTTTAACATTTGAAGTTTTTAAACCTGGAACTTTGTGGCTGAAGAATGTAAATCAAAGTTACAATGGTGAATTTACAATTAATATTTTAACCGTTTCTCCTACTCCTCCATCAAAAGTAAATGTTTACATTGCTGGTAAGTTTTAATTATTTCAATCTTTGTTGTATTGTATACATTGTTCTGAGTATTTAATGGGGGAAACTTGGTCTAAAAATTTTGCCAAAGAAACGTTTATTACAGTTATTGCGTCGTTGCAAACTTTCTTTTTCGGAGTTGGATCTTTAGGACATTTGACAATGCTTCTGCAGCTCATGCAATTGTAACAATAAGTGGCAATAATGGAGACACAAAATATGATACATCAGTCCTTAAGTCATTTGGTTTAGATGTTGAAGTTTTTATGCCTGCAACTCTAATGTTGAAGAATGTTACTCAAAGTTACATTGGTGTTTATAAATTTACTTAACTCCTGATCCCTTTGGCTCATCTGTAAACGTGTCTATTGCAAGTAAGTAGTATTTATTATTTTTAACTTAGCAGCGGGTTATCCAAGCCTTTCATCTACTCTGAGTAGCTGTAGCATCGGGCGTAATTGTACGATAAATGACCGCGGTCTGGAATCCTTTAGCTAAATACTTGAGCCGTTGAGCGAAGACAAATGCGAAGACTTGTTTTTGTTCTGTTTCAATTTTAAAAGGAAATTATAAGGTATCTTTTAATTTGAATAATCTATGTTAAAGTGTTTGTACCACAGATTTTACTACTTTTAAGTATTGGACAAAAAATTAGTTATTGATACCACTTTCGATTTTTGTGGTGTAAAATTTGATATCAATTGATCAACTGGTAATATCACTATTATGTCTCGCCGAACAAAGAACAGTCTATCCACGCTTACAGATGTTGATGTTAAAAGCCTGATTCTGAAATTGCCCAAAACAGATAAAACCAAAAAAGATATTCCACCAGAAAGATCTGCCAAAGATAACGGAAACAAGACTAAAGAAAATGAGACGTGCACCGAACCTAATGATAAAGAACCAAAATTTCGCGCGCGCGTTGTTAATGTCGAGACATTTGTTTTAACGTTACCCAGCACAGACAAAATTGTTTCAGAAAAGTTAGACATAGACGATAATGCAAGTAAACTCGACCAAATCCTCACTCGTCTACGTATTTTAGAAGAAAAATCGAAAAACGATGATAACAAAAAAGCCGTCCTTCTAGTCGACAACGCAAAAATGGCAGCCGAAATTGACCATTTGAAATTTTTTATTAGCATGCTAAGAGAAGACTACAATCGAATCTTGTCTCTCATTGATAACAATCAAAATGCTTGGATAGATGTCAATCGTAAGAATCAACCCAAGACCAATCAACAAAAACCAACAACTAATCCTCTTCCTCTAGTAAATAAATTTGGAAATCTCCACGATAAATCCCACAAGGAAAATCACGTAGCTCCGACAGTTAGCACACCGTCAATGGAAGTATGCCTCACTCAGTCAACTTAGTCCCAACTGAATGCTTACCACTCTAAGCAGAAGGAAAAGTTTTCTAAAAAAATTGGCAATCCTAATGAAGACAACGAGAAAACTGACAAAAAAACTCAATCTTAACTGAATGCTTACCACAATAAACAGAAGAAAAAGTTCACGAAATTAAAAATTGACACTCCTAACGACGACCAAAATATAACTGTCCAAAAAACCCATAACTATTTAGCTGCGTCAACTCTTATCATTGGTGACTCAATGTTGAAACACATAGATCCAAAAAAGATCTCCTGGGCAGCGAGAGGGAAATCTACCTGCCACTCCTTCAGTGGTGCAAAAATAAAGGACATCCAGCAAAAAGTCCTGGAGATCCCCCAAAATAAACATGGTACTATTATTATTCATGTTGGTACTAATGATCTTGTCAATAGTAGTGCTGATGAAGTTGCCACAGGTTTAGAAACCTTGATTGTAAGTTCGAAGAAGTTAGCAGGTAAAGATGGAATTTCAAGTGTTGTAAAAAGATTTAATGGCAAGGTTTCCTTACATAAAATGGCTTTTTATAATTCTCTCATCTACAAATTATGCTCTAAACATAATGTTTCTTTTGTAAATGTGTAGCCAAGTAGCTGTCAATAATTTATACTCGATATAGCAGCACATGCACTTCAGCCCCTCCCCCTACAAATAGCTACTTGCAACAAACAAGTACATCTTTCTTAGTTTTCCTAGTAAGTCATGAACAGGTCAGTCCACCCCTGCAATACCACAGCATTTGGGTACAAAACGTAGATAAAAAAGGACCAGGGGTACAGCGTATATCGTGTGTGGGGACTTTAATATTGAAACGATGTGCAACCGTAAACGGTTAACGACATAGCGTGTGCCGGTGTTTTTTCCATAATTCCATATGCCTTCAGCCCCTGCTTCATGCTAGTGTTTTAAGATTTAGCGGTTGTTTGGGCAGTCATGTGGCCCATGTTATTGGTGGATTATAAAAGTATGAATTAATTGTGTATTAGCAACTCAGATAAGGAGAGCAGTCAAATGAAATTTTGCGATAATAGAGAGCTTTAGCAAAGACTACGAGTACGATTTACGTCATTTTGGCGCGAAAACATTGTTGCGACAACAACTACACACGTAGCCGTCATCAATCTGAGTACGATGTTTTGTAAAAAATTCGTAGTCGCGACTACGATGTCTTTTCAAGCAAAGAAAGTAGGTATATTTCTTCATTCTGTAAGAAATTAGTTTACAGTACTATTTTCAAATCAAATTTGATTTACATACAACAGCACATACAACAATAAATTTTATTCTTTACAGATGCGACATTCCTCTTGCGGTTTTTACCCCTGTCTAACTGACGCTTACAAATAAATACCCTATTGTTTCTATCATGACTATTATTATGATTGTCTTTAATTTCAGTTAAACCAACAGTGTCGATTAACTGTTCATCTCCTCTGTTTGTGAATGAAAGTGATAATGCGTCATGTGTATGTAGAGGTGAAGGAGGTAACCCTCCTGCTAATGTCACATGGTTTGATAAAGATAACACAACAGTTCGTGGATTTGGAGTTGAAAATGCGACTTTAGTAATCACTGGTGCCTCACCCAATGATCGTGGAAGTTACAAATGTAAAGCTGAAAGTTTTGATGATCCACGTTTCATTGACGAGAAATCCATTGAAATAAAAGTGAATTGTAAGTTGCGAACTTATATATTTAGTACTTTTGCAATAAGGTTTTCAAATTGTGAAATACGTAGAATTTTGAATTTTAAATTTTAGATCAACCAAGAAGTACGAACATAACCCTATCAAAAAAAAATCCACAAGTTGGTGAAAGTGTGAATATAACCTGCGAATCAGATGGTTTTCCTCCGCCAACCTTCATTATTTCTTATAATGGTGCTGTTCTCAGCAATAATAAGACATACATCATTCAATCTCTCAACTTCAATCACGCTGGTTCATATCGTTGTGAAGCAAAGAATAAACTGGGAAATGATTTATCTGATGTTAAAAATCTCATTGTTGTCAACGAAGGTAAAATTAAAATTTTTATTTCATCAATTTTTGGGCTAGTATTCTACATTGTACATGAACAAATACGTTACTGTGGAAGTGTGTGTGTGTGTGAATATTAAATTTTATTTTTAGACCGACCACGACAAACCAATATTACCATCAGTCCAATGCCAGCCAGAAAAGGTCAAACTGTGACAATATCCTGTGAGTCAAATGGGTATCCTGAACCAACCTACACCATTTACCACAATGGTACTGATAACACCTCTGTTGACATCAATAATAAGACATACACCATTCAATCCGTCAACTTCAGTGATGCTGGCTCGTATCGTTGTGAAGCAAAGAATAAACTGGGAAGTGATTTATCTGAGGTTAAAAATCTCACTGTCAACCAAGGTAAAATTAAGAACCTCAGTTTATCACTTGTTGGACTTTTATTTTGCATTATGTACGAACTTTCTTGGTAGCAAAAGTTGACAGACCGATGTTTATCTCATTATAATTAGCATTAGACTTCTTGAATGCACTTGAATACCCTTATAACAATAAAATTTCAGTAAACAACGAAGATTGCTCTGATTACATAATTTTTTAATGGCTCGTGTGGTAAAGCAAAGACTGGCAATGTCTGCATGCTGCATTAACCATAACATTTTTTCCTATGTATATATATTCTTCAATGACTATCAGTAAAAATATGTTCAACTTATCTGTATTTCCCAGTATAATCATTAAAGTGTTTATAAACGTAAATTGCCTAGAGTTCATTAATTTAAATAGATTACTTGGCGTGAATTGCTTAAATAACTGGAATTTCAAACTAGCAAATTTTCACGCATTTCAATATTGAAGGAAGTTCAATATTGGAATCATTCTCATTTGAACAAATTTTGTAATTGTGCTAGCTCCTATATCAAGCTCATTCAGTCTATGGCTGTCGATAATTACGTCATCGATGACGTTTGCCTTTACGTCATCAATTAGTTCCACTACCACTAATAACGGTAACTTTTTTAACGTTTTTTTCTTTAATTCTTTAATGTGGAACAATCATTTATGGAGAGCGTGTCTAACCATTTGTTTTTTAAACTTTTTTTATTAATTTATCAATTTACGTATGACCTGGCACTAACTTTAGTGTGTATTGTGAATTTTATTTTTTTTTGCATATCGCATTGTTTCATTCTGGCTATTTCTAACTATTTGCTAGACCTATTTAAAAAGCTATTGATTAATGTTTGAATTTGGTGGGGTCGTCAAGAAGACTGTTTCATAAAATTTATCAAAGTTCACAACTCTTTATTTAAGTTAGCCAAAATACTTCTACAAGCAAAGATAATGGCAACAATAATTCTACAGTTAAAGATGATGATGATGGACCAAATATTGCTCTGATTGTTGGCATTGCTGTTGGAGCGGTTTTCCTTGTCGCCATTATAGTTGTTGTCATTTTCTGCTGTCGTATTACTAATTATTAAGTATCTACTTTTGTGTTATGTTTATTGTAGAAAAAGGATACCAGTAAGTGAATTATTCATTTTTATTTTCTTTGTGTGATATGTGATGTTAATGTTTTTTTTATTTTCTCATCTTTTGAATAAAATATTTTCATGAGTTGAGCAAGTTAGAGAAGCTGTTGTATTTCGTACAGTACGAACTGTTGTATTAGTGTTATATCTATATCTTCTTCGTTTCGTCCATATTACGTACAAAATTTAATCATGGTTGTTAATGTTGCAGCGGTGAAAATGGTGTTGAACCATTAGCTGGAACTAATAATGCACAACCCAATCATTATGAAATGGCTGGAGAACTTAGAGAAAATGCTTATGAATCTGTTGGTAATCAATATGAATCAGTAAATAATCCATCAACAAGTGATGAAAATAAACCATCAACAAGTAAAGCACCACCACCTGTGTATGCCTCGATTAATAGAGAAAACAGGCGAAGGAAATCCGGTTTGTTGTGGATCTTTGTCATTTATTATTTATAAATAGGATTTGTGCATTTATTTTATTTTAGTTGGATTATGGCAATGATTTATTTGAATGCAACATTGGATTATGCAGGGGTGTTAAAAACTGCTCGTATGTGACAGCACCCGATATTTAGAATTATTATTCTTCAGCAGTAATTGATTCTCAAAGACCTGTAGACGCAATTGAAAATAATACGTACGAATTGCTTCATTAAAACTTGATTTTATATTAAACGATTCTCTCTAATAAACGCTTTGACTCCAATAGTCGCACCCCACACGTTGCCATTGTTAACAGTGTGTTATCGATTGCGCCAAGAAACCGTATATTTAGTCTTGACTTTGTTTTTATGTGCTCACAATATGACGATAGAGAATGATGTAAACGTCTCTCTCTATTTCACTACTCGTATCAACTGAACCTCTCTCCACTCCCTCTAACTGCTATGGACTTTATAACGTCCCGGGTTTATTAGATCATTTACGATGATTAATAAACCTACATATATTTTATTATCATATGTATATATGATAAAGTATATACAAAGTGTATAACAATGTGCCCTCCCGGCTATCACCATAGTAAAATCGTGACTCCTGCACTTGGGACACAGGATATACGGTTACACATTTTATGGATTGTTTTGTAACCAGAGTGCTCAAACATAATAGAAAAACAATGTTTTTAATGACAATATATACGTATTTTTTCTGTAGTTATACTCCTCACTTGATTTAAAAGATGTCCCTTAAAAAAACCCGGCTCAAAATCGTCCTGCACCAACTGGTTACGCCAGGATTGATATGAGTAAACTGGCACCTGTCGAGAAAAAAGACGACAAGAAAGGTGATGACAAAAAAGGCGATGAAAAGAAGGAATAGTAAGTTTTATCTTTTGGAAAAGATCCACAAAGATCGACGTAATTCTTTGATGGTTGAAGAAAAAAGTGAAAATTGATTCATTTGTTGAATATTTTCTTAAAAAATGCCGAAAACATGTTTTTCTTTCTCTTATTATGGTAGTTTAATCTTATTATAAATTTCCTTTAGAACTGGCGATCGTCGTTAATAAAACAAGAGTACGTAAAGACTGTTACTACATTTATAAAGTTTTATTTTGTTCTTCATTATATAATCTAGATTTGATCTCTAAACAGTACTAAACCGAATACTTTATGATTGTGTCTGTGTACATAATCTTTTGCCATGAACAAACTTGAATCTTGGCATCTATGCTACAGTTTGTGAATGTATTTTACTTGCCTTTATAAGGCAACAACATTACACACTGACTTTAACACAGCATTTTGAATAGAATATTGTTTTAATCGTAGTTTTACTTTTATTATTTTAATTATCATGGTTAAACCATTTAAACTTTTATTTACATAGAAATTAAGTGTAGAAATTAGATAGAAAAATCAAGCAATTTCAAGGAGTGTGATGGAAAACTCTTTAAATTGCTTCTTTACGATTGAATGATTTCATATGCATTAGTGTAAGGGATGTTTACGAATAAAACAATTTCGTGATCATTATTATTTTGCTTCTTTATTTTCGTATCAACTGTAGATGTGAGATTTTACCTACTTCCAAAGACAAGCTAACATTGAGTGGCTTTGTTTCAGCAAGCTTGGGCGGTAATAGCAATTTTTTAATTTAAAAATTTCTAGGAAGACAGCAAACTGCAATTTAAAACAATTTAGTGAACAAAATTTTAATGTGTGAGTCACTGCACAATGGATAGTGCTATCCTTGCTTCGTGTAAACAATGCTTCAATTCCATAAACATCAATGGTAGTTTTCAGCAGCAAATATCTCAATTATGCTCATCAGTGGACAATATTCATTGATCTTTAATGATAATCAATGACAGATGAGCAGGAAAGCCTAAGGTAGAAGATAGCCTAAATATATATATACCGCAGAATGCAGATTTTCAAGTATTTCTTACACTGAAATGATTCGTAAAATTCAAATGTCTTACTTGGGAGTGAATACGCTTTATTTTAAACCGGATTTGCAATTCTATATTGTCCCCATATTTACTAAAATTTTGTAAAATTTTCTTTCATTTAAGATTCCAAGTTAATGGTAAAGCAATGTAAATACAACGATTAAAAGAAATTATAGAACATTACTTTTGTACTTTTAATTTCTGAATTTGTTTTGGTGACTTGTTGGGTTTAGTGTTCTGGTTTTAAACAGTTCTTTTAAGAACTATTACGTCATTATTTTAACCATTCACCATGGTATATGCTCTTTTTTAAACAATTTTAAATTCTAATATACCCGATTAAAAAGAGCAAAGTTGTCTGACGTCATCCATGTACAGTCCTTTGCTAAACAGAAGTTTGCAGTCAACCATCTGAATTAAAGTTGCTTGGGTTGAAGTGGTAAAAGTTAAAGGACAACTCGGTTATTTGTCATTTGATTCACTGTTTTACGAAATCAAAAATTTCTCAGTGATACATGCCCCCTGGGACTCGTCAAGAACATTCTCAATCTAGCCAGGTTTGGTATTTTCAGCTAAAAACTGCAGGATAAGATCATTGGTAAGATAGATAGTGTAAGCAGGGGGGCGGATCAAGCTTCCCAGGGCCACTGGCGATTCCAAAGTCCCCCCCCCCATCTGGAATTCTTTGTAGACAAAGTATAAGAAATTTGTAACTGTGCATTAAAATTGTGAAAATTACTTAGAAAATTTCAGCAAAAGCGATTTATACAGATGTTATTTTTCAAAATTATTTTCTTACCAAATCCACTTGTGGATGCTCATCGTCTTCAAGAGCATTGTAATCAACTAGGAAATGGATATTGGCACAGCGTGTCGAAGTATGCTTTCACAATTTATACATTCATCTAAAAGCACCATTAAGTCATATGTAAGGATAAAATTACAGAATAAAGATTGTGTGGCTGGTATTCTGTTTGTAAAACAACTCTGGGTAATTTGCGTGGCTTGTCATGAGACAGGTTTTGATAAAATATGATCGCTCTGTTACATATGACAGCGTTGTCACAGCGTTTACATTCTTTTCATTACTTATATAAATATTTGCACAACATGAGACCCGGAAATAATGTGAAATAAGGAAAATTAGCTGGTTTATTTAAGAAATACGAGAAGATTTTTCACCAGCTTGGTTACTTCAGTATTGTTTAAGGTAAAATGAATCATTTAAAATGTTATCAAATATTGACTGTTCAGTTCATTTGTAAATAATTTTATTGACATTTCACGGAATTTCCTGTGGATTAAGAGTTGTCTGAGATGTATCATAGTTGAAAGTACGTTAGTACTTTTGCAAAGTACAAAACGATGTATAAACACAACGTTTTCCATCGAAAATTTTGTAAGTTTTTACTGATGCTTTTGTTCCTTAAATGTTGATTATAGGAAATCAAATATAAAGGAATACATCATATATTACTGCATAGTAGCTCTGTGATTTTACTTAAGTCATATTTTCATCTTAACTTTTATAGACAGAATACAAGATGGCCAAGTTTGGTTTCCTGTTGTTTGTTTTGTTCAGGTGGATTTTAAGTTGTCAAGGTATTTATTATTTTATTGACTATTAAGGAAGTAAATGTTTGTATTTGTGAAATAAAAGCGGAATTTGCTTAGAAATTTAAGCTAAATTGACTGAAAAAGTTTGCATGATGTTTAGAAAATAATCATTGCAGTTCTGCATAGAATGAACTAATTTAAAAGCAATACCTTGCAGTATTTTAGAAGACAAAGAGTGTTCTTTGCATTCTATAAATATTTGCACATAATGGTTATCGAGCAGAGAAATAAGAATATTTCATTCAAGCTAAGGCAACAAACATTTTTTGTGGTAAAGTTAAAATAATAATAGCCTCTGTGCTTGTACAATAATGCCAAATGTGTTTCACCATTATAAAATATGTTGCTTTATGTGGCTGTAGTGCAATCATAAGTCTAAATTATATTTATATGGAGCCATAATTATTTATCATTTGATGCTCATATCAATGTGTGAAGAAATTTTAAATGCTGATGACTGCACTCATATATACCAATTCACTAAATCTTCTGTTAATTGGAAATTGACCTCAATCATTCAGTTTGATATTGTTTTTCCATTAAGTTTTCAAAGCCCACCATTTTTTGGGATTTAGAAATTTTAGCTTCTTCTGTAGTATTGCTTGTTTTGTTCTTGTAAGTAAAAGATCACATTTGGTCTTGATGTTGTCACATTTCCAATCATTCAGCTCTATTTTAATTTAATGGAAAAAAACTTGCTTATCACTTTGAAAAACTTGTTTATCAATTTCTTAATTTTTTGGGGGAATTCAGGACCATTGGGTTTTCTCAATTTCTCTCAAATACATTACAGTTGGAAACTGATTTTTATACCTGGTCAGAGTAATGTTCATCTTTTTTCAGTTTTGATCAACAAGGCTCTTACAGATACATGTAGAGATACTTGTTACAGCATCCTCTGCTACTGACCTCTCAGCATTGACCTTAATAGTTAAAACCTTTTCTTGCTTTTTCCTCTATGTCTTTATTCATGACCACCATACACATCCATAATAGCTACCTCCCAGGTTATATTTTTCATTATGGACTTCACGAATGGATTTCATGAAAAAGAAACAACGCAAAATTATTGTTATTGTTAATGTTTGACTTAGTTTTTTAACTTTTTTTTGTTATTATGAAATTAAATAACCTTTGAACTTAAGTAGAGATGTTTTCGTAAAATTTCTTATGAACGTCTTGTATAGTTTTATGTACGTCGAATAAATATTTGGTTTATGTCCAAAATCATTTGTACGTATTACGTACCTATTTTTATTTACTTATCTTTCATTTCTTGTCATAGGAATTATTCTATCACCTCCCTCTGGCACACGTTTTACATTTCTACCTGGAGAAACACACAATATAACATGGACAATTGATGATAGTGAAAGTGATTTGGCCAGTAGATTTTGGTATTTCACTGGTAGTGATGGTTTGACACGAACACTTTTGGCCATTGTCTTTGAGAGGGGTGATGTACAAAAGTTAAGTGCACAAATTCCTCCAAATTATGACGTCTACAAACCTTCCACGCTGCAATTAACAAATATCACTCATAGTTATAGTGGAACATATGAGTTTGAATTGAGAAGAAAAGATGGTATTGCTTTTATATCTACAGTCAGAGTTTTTGTTGCAAGTAAGTCATTCCTATTTTTTTTAGCTATTTAACATTTTTATCAATTTTAGAAATTTATATTGCTCATTTAAAAATTAACCAAATTACAGTATGTTTTATGTCAATAATTTTTGACCATTCTTGACACGTTTGGGTTTACAAGTTTATTATTTACTTGAAGATTAAAAATATTTTTTCACATTTGTTTCCAGCCAATCATTTTTTGCGACGTTAACATAAAAGACTAAGTTTATTTTCTAAATCTAAATGAGCTATGGAGTCGTCAAAATCAGTTATGTTTTTATTATCAGCAAACAATCTAGGTTTTGTTTTTGATGGACATCGTTGATTTTAACCAAAATAATGGCCCTAAAATAGAATCTTTTGGTAATCCATATTGATTTTTTTCGAAGACAAAAATCTGTTTATTTAGTTTACGAAATGTGACTGGTTAGGGCATCAATCCAACACTCCTAAGAAAATGCACCTTACACTAACGAATACTCTCATTATTAATTTTCTTTTTCCTAACTAAATAAAGAAAGGAATATTTTCTGTTTTTAATTTCAGTAAAACCAAATGTGGTAATTAATTGTTCAACTCCTCTGTTTGTGGATGAAGGTGATAATGTGTCATGTGTATGTAGAGGTGAAGGAGGTATCCCTCCTGCTAATGTCACATGGTTTGATAAAGATAACAACATACTTGGTGATGTTGGAGTTGTAAGTAAGACATTAGTAATCACTAATGTTACAGTGAATGATGGTGGAAATTACACATGTAAAGCACAAAGTTATAATGATCCACGTTTTAGAGATGAAAAATCTATTGAAGTAACAGTGAAAACTACTTGTAAGTTTGTAAGACAGCATTTCAGATCTCATTATAAATGTTTGTGTAGAATATTGAATTTAATTTTATTCTATACAGATCCACCACAACAAACCAATATCACAATCAGTCCAATGTCAGTAAAGAAAGGTCAAAATGTGACAATAACCTGTGAATCAGATGGTTATCCTGAACCAACCTACACTATTTATCATAATGGTGCAGTTATCAGTAATAATAAGACATACATCATTCAATCTGTCAACTTCAGTCACCAAGGTTCATATCGTTGTGAAGCAAACAATAAACTGGGAAATGATTTATCCGATGTTAAAAATCTTACTATCATCAGAGGTAGAATTAAAATCTTACTTTCATCAATTTTTGAGATAGTTTCCTACATTGTACGTAAATCAGAATTATTTACGACTTGTCAATGTTCATCTTCAATTGACTTGCATTTGTACACGATAATACAAGATTGCAAAAAGTCTTTAAAAGTCTTAACATAAAAATATCATAAAAAAAGCTCTTTGAACTCCACAACACAGGCGTTGGTGCTTATTTTCCTGTCCTTACTTCGCATGCTTTCAGGCACACGTCGCCGAAAGTTATTCTAGAGCGACCGTATGGAAAACAGCTCACCATGTTTTGCATGGGAACAAAACAATGTTAACGAGTTTGAATCTGAAGTTTAGGGTGATCCATTTTTGCTTGAGGTCCTAAATATCCTCTGTGACATAGGTCTCTATAATTGTGGTGCCTTTTTGTGGAACAGCTTCAAAAACCTGAGTTCCTCTGTCATCATATTTTCATTTGAACAGCTCACAGGGTATCATGCATGTGGTAGTCTTCGTCGTTGTTATGATAGATAAAAAATATACTTAGGTTTGATATGTTTTTGTTATTTGTCATTTGGTACTGTTTTCATTTAAAAAATGGTCTTTAATGGCTCAAAATGATATAAGTTTTATTCGATTTTATAGTTTTATCTTTAATTTCTTGTAATAGGAAAAATTCTATCACCTCCCCCTGGCACAAGTTTTACATTTTTACCTGGAAAAACACGCAATATAACCTGGACATTTGATGATGATTTAAATGATGTGGCCAGTAGAGATTGGTTTTTTACGGGTAGTAGTAATGGTTCACAATCAACACTGTTGGCCACTGCCTTTCTGGATTTGCCATTGATAAAACATAATGCACCAATTCTTCCAAATTATGACGTCTACAAACCTTCAACGCTGCGATTAAGAAATATCACTCATAGTTATGATGGAACATATGAGTTTCGATTAACAAGAAAGGACAGTCTGTTATCTCCTTTTATATCTAAAGTCAGAGTTTTCGTTGCAAGTAAGTCGTCCTTTTTTATTTTATATTCTTATCAATTTTAGAAATTTATATTTTTCATTTGAAAATAAATGAAAGCAATACATCTATTCAGTTAGAAACGTAGAAAAATAATTAGACCAGTGGTTGCAACGTTAGGGGACTAAGAAATTCAAACCATGTGCATGCGTCGTATGGCTCATGTTATTGGTTGATTACGAAATCATGGGTTAAATTTTATATTAGCTACCAGAGGCGGTTCTAGAATTTTTCAAACGTCTGCCATAGAACAGCGGGCGTCAGACATTCTCCCTTGAGAAATTTTGAAACATAAGGTGCTAGAAATCGATTTTAAGCATTTTGGAATACCTTGTGTGTCAATTTTTGCATGGTTACAAATTGGGCGAAATCGCCGTTGTTAAAAATCAATGATAATAATCAATGCTCTTCCTCATGTTGACTACATCATTCTTCAAAATGGTTATCAAATGAAAACCATCCATAACATCAATAGTTTTTCCATGCAATAATTGTGTACTGGAAAAGTAGCATCCAGAATCGTTCTAGTAAAAACTAGCGCAACAATTAAATGAAATTGAGTGACTAATGAAGTAAGTGAGAAGCATCAGCAGGAAGGGAAGGCTTTACATCGTCGTTTACATTGTTTATCATGTCCTGAAGAGTGTCGATTAAAGGGATAAACGTTTCAACATTTCAAGAATGTGAATACGCTCAACCCATCTGGTTTTACAAAGACTTACCAGTTTTGCCTTCTTGGTCTGAACATCTGACTTTTTCACGTGCTAAGCAAGGGGCATGTTGCGTATCTGTGATATGATTATAAAATTGGCAGCTTGACAAACAACAGATAACATGGTATTAATTTCAACGTTAGAAAGAGTGTTACAGGCAGATGAATTTAGTCGATGACTATAACAGTGAGTGTATAAATTGCATTCATTAAAAATCAACAAATCGTAGAACAAGGGGCAACTGTTGTTTGTGAGAAGAATCGCAGCTTCATCTGCAATGATAGAATAATATCTATTTTTTATCTCCGTCGATATTACCTGATCAAAACAATTGATTTTTTTTTGGGCTTGTCTTGGCAATATTCTTTTATGCTTGCCACATTCGAACAAATGATTTTCCAAAGCTTGATCACCAGCTCTAACTCTGAAATTTTAACATTCAACAAAATTACCAACATTGTTTTTAACTAAATAGCAACCAACCTCTGAGTGAAATTGAGTAACATCACGATGACGTCGTAATCCAATGGCAATTAAGAAACACCAAAGCAAAACCTTTGTCAATAAGACAAAGTCCATATTTAGTCGACATGGAATTCTGGAAACTATAGTATCTGATAATCAGCCTCATTACTCATCGCAAGAATGCAAACAGTTTGCGTTAGACTACCATTTCACACATAACACCATAAGTCGGAGTTATCCAAACTCAGGTGGATTAGGTGAGATAAACAGTTGAGACAGTCAAAAACATTCTCAAAAAATGCAAAGCGAATGGACAAGACCGACAAGAATATCTCGCGCTGTTAGACTATCGTAACACCCCCATTGACGGTGTGAGCCCTGCGCAAGCCGCTTTGATCAACCATTCTTACTTTACAATGTCAGCTGTATCCAAAACCTATCGACCAATTTACATTTCACATTGCTCGTCAATAGCTGCACTGCCAAGGCTTCGTAACAATTGAAAGAAGGTGAATGAGTGAGATTTCGCCAATACTCAGTATGACCATGGACTCGCGAAACGATGATGCGAAAGAATCAAACACCCAGAAGCTACATGGTAAAAAGCGACTACGGAACAGAACACAGAAGAAATCGTAGGTACATACGAAAGACACTGGAAGAACCACCAGACCTCGACAACCTGGATGATGATAATACTCAAGATCTGAATTCAGATTCAGCTGCAAATGCTGCTACAGAGAATGCCCAATGGGGTTGGGCCTGTGTGGCAGAATGGTTTTCTTTCAAACTATAAAGATGACATTGCTTGCGAAAAACAAATTCTTGGTTATGGAATGTTTTCACTGCTCGCCATGTTGGTAGAAAATCTCCTATAGGTAAAAGAATCTGTATTGATTTTATGTTGTGTTGAGCGTAGGCCCTTTGAAGTTGCCTACCAACATGGCCGCTTTGACGTCATCACACGAAAGAGCTTCGTTCTCTTTTTTCATCGTTAGTAGATAAAAGTAATTTGCTTAATAATTTCTTAGGAAATCTATTCGAAAGAAATATCCTTTTCAAGAATTTATGATCACATTCCTTGAACTCATCTGATGGCAATCTAAATAGCATGCGTCAGCGCAATTCTTACCACAAAATTGGCAATAAAAACGTAGGACTTCTTATTGCGTTGCATTAATTGTGAAAGAAATATTTGCTATTTTCAGCTATTAGCTGGAAGTTTATTAAAGCCTTGCGATTTCAGAAAAATCCCTTAGACTTTATTTTTTCATTATGTTGAAGAGAAAATTGTTTCAGCATCCATTTTCTTTATCATAATTAGTGAAATTTTTTTTGCTTTTGTTTTCAGTAAAACCTACAGTGGTGATTAATTGTCCAACTCCTCTGATTGTGAATAAAGGTGATAATGTGTCATGTGTATGTAGAGGTGAAGGAGGTAATCCACCTGCCAATGTCACATGGTTTGATAAAGATAATTCAAGAGTTCGTGTGTTTGGAGTTGAAAGTGCGACTTTAGTAATCCCTGATGTTAAAGTGAATGATAATGGAAGTTACAGATGTAAAGCACAAAGTTATGATGATCCAGGTTTCAGAGATCAAAAATCCATTGAAATACAAGTAAAATGTAAGTTTTGCAGATATATTTTATCATCTTGTTACTATAGATGTTTGAAAACTTCGTCTTCAACTTTGTTGTTATTGACGTGTGGTAAAATATCATGACTTTGGAATATTATACACCTATTGTATGCTCCCAAGGGAAATAGTGAGTTTAGTTTTCCAAGAGTCTCAATACATTGCATGCGATTCGAGGGAAAACAAAGCTCAGTATTTCTCACGGAATCATACATTAAGTGTTTTGTTATATATAGGAACAAAATTCATAGATTTCAACAATTTTAAATGAAATTAACGTCTCTTTGGGGGGGAGATTTGTCCGTCGAGATTTCGTTTCATAATGCTATAAGGGTGACCACAGCATTTTTGGAGCACTTCTAAGGGTTTTCACAATATTTTTTTCTATTACAAGTTGAATTTCGTTGCTTAATAAACTCGAGACTTGTATTTTTAGTTTTCGGCTCCATAGCTGTTTTATTTTTTATGATATTAAAATCAGCACGCAACAATTTTTCACTTGTTTCCCTCGTGGGAAACATTGCGTCTATTTTAAGTCATGTGACTACGAATGAACCAATCAAATTTTACATACACAGCACATACAACAATGAATTTTATTCTTTATAGATCCAACATTCCTCTTCCGGTTTTTACCCCTACCTCACTGACGCTTACATATTGTTTCTATCATGACTATTATTATGATTCTGTTTTTAATTTCAGTTAAACCAACAGTGTCGATTAACTGTTCATCTCCTCTGTTTGTGAATGAAAGTGATAATGTGTCATGTGTATGTAGAGGTGAAGGAGGTCACCCTCCTGCTAATGTCACATGGTTTGATAAAGATAACACAGCAGTTCGTGGATTTGGAGTTGAAAGTGCTACTTTAGTAATCACTGGTGCCTCACCAAATGATCGTGGAAGTTACAGATGTAAAGCTGAAAGTTTTAATGATCCACGTTTCATTGACGAAAAATTTATTGAAATAAAAGTGAATTGTAAGTTGCGAACTTATATATTTAGTACTTTTGCAATAAAGTTTTCAAATTGAATGTTTTATGCAGTGCGGTGTTTGAAATTAAATGAAGATATGATCTTCGCACTTTGCTGGACAATTTAAGCAATTGTCTCAGGACCTGAAAAAATCAGGTGACTCAACGGGAAAATCAGGTGACTCATGACCACCGCAGAGGTCATGGGTTCGAATCCCGTTGAGTCACCTGATTTTTTCATGTCCTGAGACAATTGCTTAAATTGTCCAGTAAAGTGCGAAGATCTTATCTTCATTTAATTTAAAGTTTTCAAATTGTCAGATACGTACAATTTTGAATTTTTAATTTTAGATAAACCAAGAACTACGACCATAACCCTATCAAAAATAAATCCAAAAATTGGTGAAAGTGTGATTATTACCTGTGAATCAGATGGTTATCCTGAACCAACCTACACTATTTATCATAATGGTGCAGTTATCAGCAATAATAAGACATACATCATTCAATATGTCAACTTCAATAACGCTGGTTCATATCGTTGTGAAGCAAAGAATAAAGTGGGAAATGATTCATCTGATGTTAAAAATTTTATTATCATCAAAGGTAAAATCAAAATTTTACTTCATCAATTTTTGGGCTAGTATTCTACATTGTACATGAACAAATTACGACTGTTCAGTTTCATCCCATTTGTACACGATAGTACAAGATTGTGCTGAACAATGAAGATAGTTATATATTTTTCTTTGTTGGCGAGATTTAGATTCGTTGTGCTAAAGACTACCACTGCCAATTATGATTGACTCTTAAGCCCTCACCTCATATACCCCTTTCGCTGCTTGCTGCGCTGATGTATGCATCTGTCGTCACCTAGCTGTTAACTTTGCCTATTGCATATCTTCATCAAATAGGTTATCAAGAGCCTTAGACGACTATGATTTGTTTATAGTTCTTCGAAGACCAACGATAGTTTTTTAGGCTTCATAATAAGTCAATATTCTTTAGGTCTAGTCGGTCACGCGATTGACTTTTAAAATTTCAAAAATTATTATTAATATGCATCTTGAAATTTGAGTGATTATTGTTATGTTGTTCTTTTCCAACATCAAAGTCTTTTTTACAAATGAAATTTTCATTAAGCAAGTTGGTTAATAATTCAGCGGTTTAATGCAAAAATCTCATTGAATAGCA